TCTTTCACCTAATAAAACCTGCAATCAATTGTTATGGCAATAGTCTTTCAAGTGTCAATGTTTTGTGGTTAGTTTCAAGAAAAACTGATAGTTTTAACAAAAATTTGATAACACTGGAATAGTGTTGTTTAAGCCTAAAATTGGTGAACAGAATGATTGGAACTGAGTAAATCGAGAAAAATAGAGAACTTACCCAAAGCTGCGACTGGTGTCGATCCACACACAAGGTGATACTCCTAAAATGCCCTACACAACCTCTTCATCCATCTACTACACAACAATCTCAAAACATAAATACATATCTCATTTTAGCTCATTATAGAGGCTAAATATCTACATTTTAGAAGGCGGATAATTTCAATATGAATATTGTGGGACTTAATTTCTGTATGTGCGTAGAATTGGCCAAACTAATAAACATAATGAGCTAGAGGAAGTTCGTTTAATTTTCTCTTACTAAGGCTAGTATCCACAGGTTCAATAAAACCAAAAGATATCTCTTGCGGAGAAGCTCAGCTGTTCATAAAAACGTTCCTTTGATCCTTTCTTTACTTCCATATTTTGTTTATGGAGCCTTAGATTATAAGAAAAACGATGATGACCCTTGAATAAGCTACAGAGCCATCAAAGAACCTCCCAAACTTTCCACCATGGTATATCTGGCCATGCCAAAGATTGCGGCCGAGACAAATAGATAACAAAAATTAAGTACGGCAGAGAGAACAGACCTCGTTGCAAACTTTGCATCGAATCTTTGACAAATAGATAAACCACAAGCCAATTTTTTAGCCATACTTTGATAAAACTCAACTAATGTTCAAAGTAAAACAAGAATAATTTTTTCTCTTCATATTAGAGTGATATTCACAACTATGATCTATATGAAGAACTATAAAACAAAATGATTTAGCACTGGCACTTGAAACGTTCTTTCTAGAACTCATAACTCTGAATTAAATAATTTCAAGTGATTTCCAAGTATTGCATCTTAACAAAAAGAAGGGGCAGTTAACAACTTTTTTCTTCTTCTTTCCGTATGTATCTTGTAGGGCTCTTCAAAAGTTAAGTAGGACGATAAAGACTTAACGATAATTCACAAGGATTAAAACTTTTCAAGGATTTATCATTGCGGAGGGTCCCGACGACGTAACCATTTCTGGTGGCAATAGCGCTAACGGTGCAAGCGGTGCTGGTGCTGCGGCGGGTTCCAATGGTGCCAATTCCAATGCAGGTAGTTCCGGAGGTGCAGGCGGCGGTTTTACTGGCACCGCCGGCCCTGCTTGAGCGATATTGGTGATGAACCTCAAAGTCTCTGCGTATATTAATACTTATAAAATACCCAACAATCTCTTTTGTATTCATAAATAAAACCTAGAGATTGTCGTCACCGTTAATACGTATGATGAAATGCTACTACTATTGTATATGAAATAAATGCAATAATTAATAACGCGAGTAATATATATGACCAAATATACTGTTTCGTCCAGTCGCGAGTCCACGTCCTCTGAATTTTCTTGGATATCTAATTATAGCTGGCTCATGAATCATTCGTTCGAGTCATCAGGGTCTAAACTCATCTTACATCTCCTGTTTCATGGTCTTGTCGACTCCATAAAAAAAGAACGAACTTGTAGATTTCATGTTACTGTCTATATATACACAAATGGCTGATTTTATGGTAGAAGTTATAATTATTACAAAAGAAAAGGTTGACCTTATAGTGTTTATTGCTAAATCTTTGATACCACTATTATATACAAATTGCCTTTCAATATGCTGCGAAGACATTTGTTGTTATCTGTCGCTTTTGGGATTTTGTAATAATGATCAACAAGATCCAAAGACAAACATTTTAGAAATTGGATTCTTTTTATCCAAACCCTTGCTAACATGTTTTATGTGGCAAAATCAAATATCATGTTTAAAAAAGAATCGAAAATGTTGATTATAGACAAATAAGGAAATCCAAAGAAAAGAAAAAAAAAGATGAATATCGTTTTCCAATGGGTTTTTAAACCGTCTAAGTTAGTGTGCGTCAATGATTTCCCTTTCAAAATCTAAATTACTAATGCATTGAAGTACATGTACATTTGACTTGTACGCGTCCTAATAAATCACACGCATGGGGGTGCTTACATACCAAATGAAACATTGGAATATATCCCAAAATTTCTCAAAAAATATTAAAGGTCTCTCGCTTTATGAAAACTGGAGTATAAAAGGAGAAGTTTAAACTAAATTATTTATTTTATAAAAAGCTGTAACTAAAAATTGTAGTTAAGATATGATATAATAAGAAAAGGGGATCATTCAAAATTGTAGAATCCATTTTTATTATTGGAAACTTATAATCAACCCCCGAAGCAACATAAGAGCAACCCCAATAGAGATACTAGTAATGAGGGCCTTATTGATTAATTATTAATATTTTATGTATTTTATGTATATAAGATACTTTGTAATATTTTGTTGTTTTTAAGTCTACAATGGAGATACTTTGATGGATGTCTTAAAAAAATATTTATAATTTTTTTTTAATAAAATTAAGTAAAAACTTATGTTAATAACTTTTAAAACATAATACATTTTCAAAAAATATAATACATAGAAACATATAATACATAAGTGCAATTTTAAACAATTTTAAACTGAGCTTGCAAGACTCCAAAAGCACGCTCGACATCTTTTTGACAGATTCTTTATGTGTAGCAAATAACGAGTTTTCGAACTTTGTGGAAGTGGAATATATTGAATAAAAGTTGTCCATTTCGAATAAATACCATCTATGAGATAATAAGTCATTTTATACTTGTGTCCGTTGACAAAGTAAGAGGAAGAGAGAGACTGAGAAAAAAAAATAACTGAGATTTTTTTTTATTCTGTTACTTTTTTTTGTCCATTCATAATTCGTCACGTGTCCGTTTTTAAATAAGAACAAAGATCCTAATTTAGACACTGGTCTAAAAATTAAGATACTCCTTACAATTTTTTTATTCAATTATATTCTTAAGAATATTTATTAGATCTCTTAGTGTTACCACTGGAGTTGGTCTAATAACGAAAGTTCACATTTTGACATCTTGGTAAGACTGTTAGCTGTAATTTACTAATGCATTTAAGTACGCATTTTTGTTGTAAGAAATGCACATGTATCCTAATAAATACATTGTATGTAGGTTGTGTATACATATATTGAGGTTATGATGTGGGAAGAAGAACACAAACACAGCTTACCATAAACATTTTAACTAGAACATAATCCAATAAAAAAAAGTATTGGAAAGATGAATGCCACAAAGTTTTTTGTGGTTCTCTTGATTGGAGTTGTGTGCGCCAATGTTGGCGCAAGGAAGCTCGAAGGAGTGTCTAAAGACACCAAAATAAGCATCTTTATTACCGAAACTACGGACCGCATTGGAGCTGCGCTTCCTGTTGATATCGGAACTAACATTCAAGGTGGTGCCACCGCCTATGGAGCTGGTTCGGGAGGTAGCAGCAGCTATGTAGGTGTTGGCAGCAACCCTTTAGTGTAAGCTGTGATCATGCTCATTGCTCGAAACCTATGAGTACTCTACAAATTCTCAATCTATTTTGTCTTCATAAATAGAACTAGAGATTGTTAGCTTTAACTTCTTTTTTTATGAAGTGTTACTCTTTATGTGGATTGTATATTGATAAACATAAATGCAATATTTACGACCGTGCATGTTAATCTGTTAATCTTCTTGAATAATATAACATATATGTATGTGTGATCATGGTGACCGACTGACCGATAACCAATTATACAAATACAACCTTGTTTTGATAATCCAATGTCATAAACAAAACGTAAACAACAAAGACACGGAATAGGATTATAGGAATGACACAAGTCCGTGGCTGTTTCTTTTAATCCGGAAATTTATTGTTCTTCCACTACGAAAAAACATCAATTCTTCTAATATAAAGTTAATTGGTAAATAAGTCAAATGATTCAAAAAGAATAAAAGTATTTTTTTTAAATGAATGATTCATTTTAGATAAGTTAGATCCTCTCTCATTTTTAATGTAAATTTATAGTAGTGTGAATCGAATACACTAATTTAACAAAGTAAACACATTATATATAAAATATATATATATATATATATATTAAATCTCTTTTTTATCAAATATGTAATACACATATAAAATCATTTTTGTATCCTAATAAAACTAAAGTAGCTGAATAGTAAAAACTTATTAGGGTTGAACAAATATATTAACATGTAAAATAAAGATTGTTAGATACTAAAATTATTGTAAGTGTAGCTGATAAACCAAAGTTTACATTTAATTATTATTAAAAAAATTTTATCAAACATGCGATTACACAAGAGTTCGACATGCAAAGTCCCAAAACAAAAGCTCTAAACAATTAAAGATACGCTGCATCACAACACTGCAATAAGGAGGCGCATCAAAGTGGCGGAACCACATTGTGAAAGGAATGTCTTTGCTATCGTGAGTAAGCTAGAAGAGTGACATCGCAACTTAGCTAGCATGAAGCCCATCGAAAAACTGTAACGTGGAGTCTGGATTTTTTTTTCCTTCTATATCGAGTAGATAATCATATATAAAAGACCATGAAACATGAGATAGAAGATGAGTTTCAGATCTGACGATGCGAGTGAATGATTCATGAGTCTTGCTGATTAGATATCCTAGAAAATTCCAGAGGAGAAGCATGTACCACATGAACATATCCGTTCTAAAACCGCGCTGATCCTATCATTTAAATGCATGCATGAACGAAACAAGGTCGTATAAATAATCATATATATATATATAGACAACAGACATTATTACACATAAACCTCGTACGTAGTATCATTAATTCATCATAATTATCAAAGGTGACGACGACAGTCTCTAGGTTTTATTTATGGATACAAAAGAGACTGTTGGGTTTGTAGTTTTAGAGTATTATAATATACGCGGAGACTTGAATTTCATCACCAACCGCTCAAGGATCGTTAATTGGCAGAGCCACCAGCATTGGTGCCTGCACCTCCGTTACCAATTCCAGTTCCAGTGGCACCACCGGGACCCACTGCAGCAGCAGCACCGGTGTTACCGGAAGCGCCATTGTTAATATAAGCGTTTGCCCTCTTGGGACCCTCCGCAATGACATACCCGTAGGTATCTGAATAAGTAGATCCGGTTCCATCAGCGTCAGAACGGCCAGGACCTTCAGCAGCACGGGCAGTGCTAGTGGAATAATGGGTAGCGCTACCGGAAACCACAACTCTTGCAAGCTCAGCTCCAAGGCCATTGGTAATAGTAGTGGCAGTTTTAGGAACAGAGATGCCTAATTTGGCCTCTTGGGGCACAGCTTCTTCGAGCATCCTTGTACCAACATTAATAGCACACACAGCTCCAACAAAGATCAGAAGCACAACAAACTTTGTGGCATTCATCTTCGATTTCTCTCTTTCTTGTAGTTTCTTTCTAATTTTGTTTCTCTAGTGAAGATGCTTTGTTGTGAGTTGTGTTGTTTCCCTCCCACTTTTTAGCCACTATATATACACACACATGTATTTATTAGGGAACGTGTGCATTTCTTACAAGCTAAATACATAATTCAATGGCATTATTTAATATTATATTAACCCATAACTAACAGTCTTGCAAACATGTCAAAATAATGATACCATCTAAAATACCACTCGCCAAAAAACGTTATCATGTTTTTACTTTCTAATTTTAAACTGTATGGGTTTCTACTTTCTACTTTCTAGATTTGTCACTGTCAAAATTTTAATTAATTATTTGTCCAACGTAATGGGTATCCAGGTGTCGTGAGAAAATATAACTTTCTTTTTAGATTCTCTTTGCTGAACACCAGAGGATTTGCATTAACGATGCTATGAAATGAGACCTAAAATAGTACATATGTTTTTGACCTAACGTAACTACCTATATAATGACGTCGTTCACAAGAAAAAGAAAAAACAAACTACGTTCGCATGCAAGAATTAATATCTAAAATAATACGTAAAACCATTTCATATATATAAGTTTTCGAAAATTCGTAATAGTAATTCGTATATTATATATACACCAGGAACACTTGTCGACAGATTTTATTATTATATCCAATTCTCTGTTGTTTTCTTTGAAGCATGTTCGAATATGTATGTATATCAAGTAATTTGTATGTGTGTTAATTTGGGAAACCTAAAACAAAACATGTGTTTACAATATCCAATACGTTTTGATATAAATATTTCACAATAATTGAGATGGCTCTGATCGCTCGTACGTGTGTTTGAATCTTTAATCCAAAGATCGTGTGTGGCGCTATTGTAAAATTACACATTTTTTAGCTGAGAAGCTATAAATTATATCCAAACTAGCGATTAAGCAATTCATGAAATGAAGCTTCTTAACTACGAATGGGATTTGGTTCAGACTCTAGATGAATATATTTTAGTTTTTTGTTAAACTTTAGATGTATATAGATTGTTCAGTCTTCTTAAGATTTCTTCTGCAATTACAAATTATAGTCATTCCAATAACAATTTGTAAGTGTGTTAATTTGAATCTTTAATATAAAGAATGCCTAAGATTTTTTTTTATGTTCAAAATGCTTTCATTTTAAATGCAATATCAACACCCATATATATATATATATATATATATATATATATATATATATATATCCAAGAATCATATTTGAGAACATTACGTAAATTAGAAGAAAAAAATGAATACTACTGTTATTGTCAGTTTAAGATGTTGAATTTACCAATACGTCAGGTTAAATGTTTTCCAAGTGAGATTCAGAATCGAAACCATAACCGAAAAAACCAAACCATACCGAACCGAAAAAAATGATATGGTTTGGTTATGGTTAAACCTAAAAATCCATTTGGTCATCATTTTTTATAGTTTTGGTTTAGGTTTGGTTTGGTTAAAAACCGTCAAACCAAAAGGTTTTTTCGATTTTTAAACTAAATTTTAAATAATTTATATTTTCCTAATTTTTTAATTTAGTTTAGATGCATATTTTATTGTTGAGCTTAGTTATCTTTATAATTTACTAACTTAACTAATAAATTTAAAATATAATATTTATAAAAAATATCTACATATAAATAATAAAGTAAGCTTTAATTTCTCAATAAAAAAATATGACTCCTTTTTCTTCACATTCAAGTTTTCTAGTTCTAGTTTCAAGATTATAGGTATGAAATTTTAATCTAGATTTGTTTATTGTTTTATAATTATTGATTATGAAAGATTTGATAATTTGTTTGTTTCTCTGTTTTGAAATCTGTCCTTATTGATGAATTTTTAATGATTTAGATTCTATTTTTGAATTTATTGTTTTATTTCACTTATTTATTATTATTATTATTTCCATTAGTTTGAATCAAAAAATTTCGTAATAGTATAATTCCAAAAAAAAGGAAACCAAACCATACCGAACCGAAATATATATGACTTTTATATGGTTTGAATTTTCGTGAAACCGATAAACCGTAAAACCGAACCAAAACCAAACCAAAAAACCGAAGTGCCCACCCCTAATTCAGATAACCAATTAAATTCAAATCTCTTTCGCATTTATTTATTTCTCTGTAAACAACAGTTAACAAATACACACACGTACTATAGATATTATTTTGGATCATTATCAAAAAATTGGATTCAAAATCTCAACCATCTCTCTTTTTCCCCGTTTTCCTTCCTTCCAACCCACCGTCACCGGCCTCACGCCGGAGGACGAGAAAAACCTCATGCCGAAGAATAAAGGGTGGCCTCCTAATGGCCCTCCTGCGACCAAGAAATTCCTCCGGGTTCTCGCTTCTCCATCCGATTTAACAGATGTTTTAAAGAATGTTTCTCCTCTCGTTGGTGGTCCTTTTTCTCTAGATTCGACCCCCGCCACAGTATCCCACACCCCCAGTGTCTCTTCTCCGCCATCAGGCGTTGTTTCAAACCAAGATCTGTTGAAGTCCCTTACTTCGGGAAGTGGGCCCGAAACAGATCTGGTTTCTCCTCGGCTCGAACCTCCGCAAGGGGTTGTTACCGGTGATACCATTCTTGTTGCCAGTGAAGATCCTTCTGTAGGCACACAATCTCAACCAGAAATGGTCAATCCGGCGACAGTTTCAGACAGTATCACTCCTCCCTTGATTGGGGGGGCTCAAACTCCCAGAAAATGGTCAAGTTTTCTGCAAGAATCTGCTCAGCTAGAGGAAATAGGAACTCCAACCCAACACATTTCTGGAGCCCCCTTTGTTCTAATTCCAGATGAGAACATAGCGGCAGCAAAGCATGAATTTAAGGACTTCATCTTTGCTCGTTTTCATGGAGATTCAGCTGAAATGGGAAGGATAATTGGAGTCATTAATGCCATATGGGCTCGCTCGGGTCCCAGAATTTTTTGTTCATCGAGTGGGACAGACCTCTTTTCTACTTCGTGTCACTAACCCGAGAACAAAGGAAATTCTTCTCAGTCGTCCAGTGTGGAACATTGCAGGATTTCCTATGTTCGTTGCTCCTTGGACACAAGATCTAGACCCAGAACAGCCCCCCATAACCTCAGTTATTATCCCTGTGGAGCTGTGTAACGTTCCCTATCTCCTCTTCAACAAGGAAAGCCTTAGCAGAATCTCTACAGCAGTGGGTAAACCTGTCTCCTTAGCCCCTGAGACAGAAAGAAAGGAAAACTTCGAAGTTGCTAAAGTCTATGTTCGCGTTGACCTCACCAAGACACTTCCATTGTCTGTGATTTCTGGTTTTTCGAGTGGAAAGGAAGTAGAAATAGCTATCTCTTATCCTTGGTTGCCTTTGAAATGTGATACTTGTGGAAAATATGGGCATGAGAAAAGATCATGCTGCCTTCCGGCAAGCGGTAGAAATCTCTCGACCTCTCCAGCTCCGAAAGAGCGTCGACTACACCAATCTAGACCTAGTAGATCCACAGAAGTAAAACAAAAATCAAAGCCTCGCGATGATGGTCCCAGAGAAGCGAAGCACACCTCTGGTAGTCATGGATCCTTCTCTGAAGTTGTAAGCAATACATCTCTACAGGCTAAAAAGAGGAACTATTTGGAGGATGCTAGTGGAAAGTCTGATGTGGATCCGCTTGGAAGACCGAAATCTGATGGCTTACTCACTAGTGGGAATAGTGATAAGACATCTTCAGAAATCCAAGGTGGTAGTGATATAGAGAGTATAGATCCAGGGGCTCCTCTACACGCCAAGACACCCCAAGACCCATCTTTATCTCCAGCTACAGGGGCACCTTCGGACATTGGAGATTTCCCAAATGCTAGGTCAACATCAGCTTCAGGGGCAATTCCATCTCCTGCAAAGGATGGAGTTAGTATCTCTGAAGAACACGAATCTCTTTTCTTCATGGTGTCTCGCCGGAAGAGTGGCCGTAAGGCCACAAAAAAACAATAAATCACTCAATCATGTTTTTTGTGTGGAATATAAAAGGACTAAATAGCGATCAACGCCACAGTATGACCAAATATTGGATTAATATCCATAGGCCACTTTTTGGAGCTTTCTTGGAAACTCATATTCAGCAAATAAATGAAGAAAGAATCCTGCGGGCAATTCCTTTTGGCTGGAAATTTTTTGGGAATTTCGATCATCATACTACGGCTTGGATTGTGGTGGTGTGGGATCCAAGAGTATCTGTTTTTATATATAAAGCTAATGCTCAAGCTATTACGTGTGGAATTCATATTCCAGCGGAAAATGTCAACCTTACTGTTACTTTTGCTTACGGGTTTAATCGTTTGGAAGATAGATTGTCTCTGTGGGAGGAGCTATGGACTTTAAACGCTTGCACATCAGTAACCTCGCACCCTTGGGTTGTTGTTGGAGACTTCAACCAAATCATGCGAGTCTCTCACCACTCGAACCACCTGGGTCTGGATGTGGATGAATCCGGTATGGATGACTTAAACCTTGCTCTTCAGGATGCTGAACTTTTCGAAGCTCAATCTAAGGGACTTTCCTTCACTTTGTGGAACAACCAAGACCAGAACCCGATTGCTAAAAAAATCGATCACGCTTTCATAAACCAGCCCTGGTCTCTATGCTTTCCTGATGCGTATGCAGAGTTCTTAGAGCCTTTGCAATCAGATCATGCGGCTTGTCTGTTCAAGATGTCATCAGCTCAAAGAAGAATTTGTAAGCCTTTCAAATTTTTTCATCACATTATTGACCATCCTCTCTATGTCGATACAGTAAAAGCTGCTTGGAACTGTGCTTCTATATCTGGCTCAAATCAGTTCAAGCTTGTCCGATCCTTGAAATTGTTAAAGCGGCCTCTGAGGCACTTAAATAAACGCCACATTAGTGGTATCTCTGCGAGAGTCCGAGATCAAGCTGCGAAAATTGCTGAGCTGCAAAGATCTCTTCTATCTATGCCAAATCAAGACATTGCTCGGGAGGAACATCAAGCCAAAGTAAAGTAGAAATCCTTGATCATTGCAGAGGAAAAGTTCTACCGTCAAAAATCAAGGGTAAAATAGATGCATCTTGGTGATAGAAACACGCCTTTTTATCATAAAACGGTGACTGCCCGAGCTTCTAGAAACCACATCCATTTCTTACGAGATGTTGAGGATCGTTTTATTGGTACATCAGATGAGATCAAAATCCACTCGGCTGAATACTTCAAATGAATTATCGGTAGCACTGACCTGCCTATCTCTCCCTGCTCTGTCGATCAGCTGAAGGATTTGTTGCCTTTCCGATGCTCAGAAACTCAAAAGGAGGCGTTACAAAAAGATGTTTCTCTTGAAGAAATTAAGAGGATTGTGTTTGCGTTGCCTCTCGACAAAAGCCCGGGGCCAGATGGTTACTCTATCGAATTCCTTAGATCTTCTTGGGACACTGTGGGATGCGACGTCCTAGCTGCAGTTAAGGAATTATTTAGTAACGGTCGCTTGCTCAAGGACATGAACAACACGGCAATCACTCTTATTCCAAAGAAACCACATGCATGTAAATTGGGGGATTATAGACCGATAAACTGTTGCAACGTTGTCTACAAAGTGATATCCAAAATCATTGCCAACAGGCTGAAACCTATTCTGCAGGAATGCATTAGTCCAAATCAAGCTGCTTTTCTTAAGGGACGTAGCCTTGGTGAGAATGTTCTCTTATCATCTGAGCTAATTCGAGATTATCAGAAAGCATCATGTCCTAAAAGTTGCATGCTTAAAGTGGATATTAGAAAGGCTTTTGATACAGTTTGTTGGGATTTTATCCTCAAGATGTTAGAAGCGCAGGACTTTCCTCCTCTCTTTCGAAATTGGATCAAAGAGTGCATTACCTCACCAAGATACTCAATTGCTATTAACGGTGAATTGGCAGGATTCTTCCCCGGGAAAAAGGGCTCCGGCAAGGAGATTCTATCTCTTCGTACCTTTTTATAATGGTTATGGAAACATTGTATTAGCTACTTAAGAATTCAATCCGCCGGGGAAACATCGTGGCTCACCCGAAATGCTTTAACCCATTGATCACTCATCTTCTCTTTGCGGATGATCTCCTAGTCTTCTCAGACGGTTCAAGCAACTCCCTCGCAGGCATATTTAAGACTATGGCTGAGTTTGAGGCAATGTGTGGCCTAGACATGAATCCTACAAAATCAGAAATTTTCTTTGGGGGGTTCACGGACGAAGAGGCAGATTTCCTAAGCAGATTATCTGGTTTTAAGGTTGGCACGTTCCCCACAAGGTACTTGGGTCTGCCCTTAAATCCTCAAAGGATCTCGTTCTCAACGCTTGAACCTTTCATTGAGAGGATTACGCAGAAACTGCACGCTTGGACGGTAAAATTCTTATCCTTCGCAGGAAAAATAAGGTTGATCTCATCGGTTATATATGGCATGGTGAATTTTTGGAGTTCTGTTTTTTCTCTGCCGAAGAGGTTCTATGCTAAAGTGGACTCATTATGCTCTGCTTTTCTCTGGAAAAATAAAATGGGATCTGCTCCAGGAGCTCGTTTGTCTTGGCGTGATATTTGCCGACCTAAGGCGGAAGGGGGCCTTGGTATCTGTTTGCTGGAGGAGTTTGAATTAGTTTTCAGATTGAAGCAACTCTGGATTCTGTTCTCATCTGCAGGTTCGTTGTGGGTTGCCTGGGTTAATAAGTATATATTTGGTAGAAAAGGGTTCTGGCTTACAAAAGATGCAAATCGTTTCTCTCATTCTATCAGAAGCATGCTCCAGATTAAGCCTCGCTTGATAGACTTTTTGCGTTGTCAAATTGGTGACGGGGCCAGGGCTTCTTTCTGGTTTGACTGCTGGACAAATATGGGGCCTTTGCTTTCTATCTTCGCTGAAACAGGGCCTCATCAACTGCGGATTCCGCTTAGTGCCTGCGTATCCCGTGCTGCCCCGAGGGGTCAATGGACTCTCCCTGGTGCACGATCAGATGAAGCTCAATCCCTGCAGATTTACTTAACAAGTACCTCCCCTCCTCTGGCCTCGCGCGGTTGTGACATCTATCTCTGGCGTAATGCAGCTGGGATGTACGTAAATTCCTTCTCCTCCAAAGACACTTGGGAGCAGATAAGACCTCGCTCTCCCTCCGTCCCTTGGCATGGGATTGTGTGGTTTAAAGAAGCGGTTCCAAGATGTTCTTTCATAATGTGACTAGCAATGCTATCAAGACTGCCTACTAGAGATCGACTTCTGAGATGGGGGTTGAATGTACAAGCAGAATGTGTTCTTTGCTCTTCCGGCATCGAAACACACGAGCATCTCTTCTTTGAATGTCTGTTCTCCGCCGAAATCTGGTCTCGCTTCTCCACCAGCTTCGCTAACTGTCCGCAAAAGCTTCAGGACATGGTTTTCTGGATTGACTCTGCTCAGCTTCAGGCTCGTTCCCCTCGAGGCATCTTAATCAGACTCTTCATTCAAGCAATCATCTACCACTTATGGAAAGAGCGCAACTCAATGATCTTCGCCAATCAGCTGCTTCCTCTTTCTCTCTTCACCATGTTATAGATCGGTATCTCCATGATCGGCTTCTTTCCTTCCCGGCGGCCAGCGTAAGCACTCCCTCTCTTCTTGAGTTGTATTTCCAATGTGTTCCTCCTCCCATGTAATTGTCTTTCTGTTCTAGTTTTTTTCCAGTTGTAATAAGTTGCTTGCAACATTGTAAAAGTCAGAAAATGATATAAATATTAACATTTAAACCAAAAAAAAAGATATTATATGTACGTGGGTGTATGTGTGTGACGGTATATAACCAATGGTGTTGCGAACACAAACTTGTCACACAAAGAAAATAAAAATTATATATTTCAGAAAAACATAAAGAAGAAACAAAATATGAAAATCAGTACTAAGTTGCTTGTGATAGTGTTCATAGGAGTTGTGTGTGCTAATGTTGGCGCAAGGCAACTCCGAAGAGTGCCCAAGTCTACCAAATTATTCATGGATCAAAAACTAGATATCCCGCCTATTTGCGAGGCTGGTGGCGGTGGAGGCGGCGGTGCAGGAGTTGCCATCAACGGAAGCAACGACAATGCAAACGGCCACGGAAATGGGGATGGAAATGGGAGTGATGGCAGAAACTGTCTCGGAGGGATGATTGTTGGAGGTGGAGGTGGAGGAGGTGGAGGTGGAGGTGCCGGTGCAGGCGGTGGTGGTAGTGGTGATTTCACTGGTTATGGTATTGGCAGCGGCTATGGTAACGGTAGTGGTGGTGTCAATGACCGTGGAGCGTATGCTACAGGTGAAGGTGGTGGTGGCGGTGGTGGAGGTGGCAGCGCCGGAGATAACAGTACTAGCGTCAATGAAAGCGGAAGTGGTAGTGGCAGCGGCGGTGGAAGTGCTGATGGTCCTGGCGTACATATCGTAGTTAGTGGAGGTAGTGGCAGTGGCGGTGGTGGTGGAGGTGGAGGCGGTGGTGGTATTGATGGTAGCGTAAGTGGCAGTGGAAGTGGAAGTGGTGACGCAAGAGGAAGTGGCAGTGGTTTTGGAAGAGTAGATTGATGGATACATATGATGGTGTTAATTAATTATGTGTGAATCCTTATGCTAAGCCTGTATATATTCTAATAATCTCTTTAATTAGTCCCATGCTCCTCTTTATGTGTAGGTTATAAATATATCGTCCATTCATAATATATACCAACTCTTGTATCATACTATAAGTTGATCGCTCGTATTTTGATATCTATACTAAATAAAAGAAGCTGTTTGAGGCTCCTTAAGCTATCCACATCAGCAAATTTAGAGTTCTCCCACAAGCAGCCATGTCATCACTTCCTTAAGTCAGTGTAAAATTTTTTCATGCTATTCAAAGTATTTTTTTCTATTCAATCTAAACCAAACAAACTAATATTTAGACTTATTGTTGATCATGTAACACTAAAACAAAAGTCCAAACAAAATAGAAAACATGATAGCCCATCCTAACCTAAGTATCTCTTGCAATGAAACGATTACTATCCCTTTCCCTTGATACTTACAATTACAATCGATTCGCCTTACTCACTTGAAACCATTGCACGATAGTTGCCACTTCATCTCTTAAATCATTTTATAATTACTTTCAATTGCTTCCAATTAATTCCCACTAAGTTGTCTATCAAGCTTCCTTTCAAAGATAATTATAAATTATTCTTCTCACAGCTGAATAATCACATCATCTCCCACCCAAAACAACTTTACAGACTATGGCTCCACGAGCTACTACTGCCTATCCTAAGACACTCACCCACAAAAAGTTTGATGACTTCTATGGAGATTTCTGTAAAGACAAGTGTTGGTCAGGCTGATTCAGTTTTGGTAGGTTAAAAATGGCAATAGACTCATGGGTGCAGAATTTCTTCACATTGAAACAAAGGTATGTGTAAGATATACACAGTAGAGAAACAAACGTATTATTGACTTTTTCTAACCCCTAATCTACTCTCTAACAATTACAAAGGCAAAAGCTACTCTCCAACGGCACCTAAATCAAGACATACCTTTTTATTTAACTTTTGTACGTGTTTTTTTCAGGTTGTTACAGTGTACAAATATGTGAATTTGGAAGACAATGACAAATACTATTTAGAATCATTAGAGCATTGGTGTTGCAGGTGAAAGCCGTAAAGGCAATTCAAATGAGACACTTAAATTTTCTGATTATTTAATATAGGTCACAAACATAGACCTCCTTACATATGTTGCAAAGTTGGGAATCAAAATTCATCTCTCAATTAGAATTAGGAAATAAGGATACCCGTTACAGAGATGGATGTATTCTTAGGTTGATGGATTCTAAATCTTTATAGTTTTCTAACACAGAAGTACCTATTAATACCCCTTCAAACATGTTTAAAATGGTTGTTTTAGAGTCTGATTAATTTTCGACGCCACTACATAATTGTTGGATTTCTCTAACTGTTTGATTCAACCCAGTATAGACATTTTAAGGAATCTAAAGCACTGTTTTAGAGGAAGTGGTAAAGACATAAAATCTTTCCAATCTTGAAGCCTGGGATCGTGAAGCTTACTTTCCATACCGTAGCAGCAACTAGCATGCATCGTAAGAACCAGGTTCTTATCTCTGCTACACTCACATAAATCGCCAAAATAAGCAATTTCAAGCATATCATTTTCGACCCAAAGCGGAAAACAAAAAAAGTTTGGCCTTAAGAAAGCTACGTACAGCTTCATCTTGATATCCCTAGAACTTAGTTTTTAAGCATAGTTCGATTGTTGGACCTTACAAAGTTCAATCCTCTGTTTTGGTTTATTATGTAGGTCATTTGATCTTCCGAGGTGATTATCGCAACTCACAAGTGTACAAAGGAAGTTGAGGAAAGACGGTTATCGAAGGGTGCAATTAGATGCCTTAATTTGCATTTCTCCAACAATCTGTTGTCCAGTCATCTCTTATAAAACTCTTTCAATCCTTCTTTGATTTCTTTATCTTTCTCCAACAATCTGTTGTACAGTATTTTCTTTCTCATTCCCGGTTGTCTATTCAAGGTGGTAGTGACACTGACACCGTAACTTATACAAATTGTAATTTGTTTTTTTTATTCATCATAAGATGGGAAAAGATCGGAGGGATTAAATTGAAGAGAAATTTGGTAAATCAGATTGACTTTGTAGTATCATGATGAAGTTTGATTCCTCAAACTATATTCCTCGATGAGTTATGGCGAGAGATACATTTCTAAAAATGCAGTATATATATAACAAAGTATTATTACTACTCTCATAGCTTTTAAGTACTAGCAACATCTCATATAGACAAACATGAAAACCACATGTTAGCTTAATATTTCTTTCGAATTTAGTATTCGAAGTCGAAACCGAAGATAATTGAGATCAAAATTACATACTTTTTTTGGTACATTCTACTAAAACCGGCAAGAAGTAGAATGCACTAATAATATCCTCTGTGTGGTAATTAAACCGTGGACCTACAATCTCTTGAGAAATCAAACAATGAAACAGAGGAGTTCCTTATCAATTCTCTATTTTGCTCTAATAAGCTTACTGTCGCTTCTGCTTCAGCACAAATATGCATAGAGAACTGTAAGCAGACTCACCCTCTCTTCTTTTAAAAAACCCTACCTCTTAGTTAGCATGTATATTAAAAAAATTAATTAGTCGAATTTTTAAAATTATAATTCATTAATTTCTTCTATGTGATAAACATAGTATCACATCTAACTAAAAAACAAGCTTAAATAACCTTCATAAATAAACTATTACAAGCGAAAAATTAGACAATAATACCTATATGGCTTATAAACACTTTTTTCTTAATCAAAATAAATTAAATATAAATATTACAACAATCCCCGCGTAGCACGAAACATTCTCAAGTACTAAATGAAAGAAGGAGTTTAAGGCTTCTTAAGCTATCCACCTCAGCTTTTTAAGTTAGTCTCTCCTTTTGCCACATAAGCAAAAAACAATAATAAAATATTCTTACAAAATATTTTTTGAAATACATATAAAATAAATAAATACAACCACTAATATTAATATAGTTATTAACAAAAACTAAATAAAATTAAAATATTATTTTTGAATCAAAATACCATTTTTGTATCAGTAAAATAAACATCATTTAAATCTAAAAATTTAATATATTCTCTTTTTTTTATAATATAATGAATATTTTGGAAAATAATTTTCACCAAAAAAACTTAAATAATAGCTAACAGAAACAAGGTTACAAAAAATAAAAAGAAGAGTTTGAGACTCTTTAAGCTATCCAATTCAGTTTTTTAATTTACTCTCTCTTTTTGCCACATCATCAAAAAAACGATAATAAAAAAACTCTCACATTAGATTTTTTGAAATACAAATAAAATAAATAAATATAAATACTAAAATTAATATAGTTATGAACAAAAACAAAATTAAATTAAAATATCATTTTTAAATTAGTAAAATAAACATCATTTAATTCTATAGCTTTAATATATTCTTCTTTTGTTTGTAATATAATGAATATTTTGGAAAACAAATTGCTCAAAAATGGTTAAATAATAGTTCATAGAAATAAGGTTACAAAATAGTAGTTTCTATAACAAAATTTAAAACATTCGCAATTTAGAAAAAAACTAAAACATTCATCTTTTAGAAGCATACAGAGTTTATACAAAACAAATATTTTTTTTTTTTGAAACTAACATAACTGTATTGTACATATGTGGATACAAAATTGTCTATTATTTACACAAAGATAAATTTATAAGACTTTATTAAAATATTACTTATTACAAAAAATATATGCAATACATTTACAGAAAAATAGATGAGCATAACTATATATTAAACATTAATATATTAAACTTTTATGATTAAAAATAGTATATATATTTTTATGTGAAAGAAAATGTCATAAAAACATTCATAACCATCCACATCAACAAAAAATAAATTTTTTACAAACTCAACATGTAAGGAATACTAATATGATTTTTTGGTTAAAAAATCTTTTAAAAAACATAATATAAATTATTAATTTAATTATAAAGAATCATCAAAATATATGTATAGTGTAAAAAATATCTAAGTTAAATTACAAGTTAAATATAAATGAATTTTTAACATTTTTTGAGTTTTGAGAAACTCGACATACTTTGTTTAATGTAATGAATTTGTATGAGGTTGTATTTGTATATATATTACTTAAATCCACATCAACAAAAAGAGAAATTCTTTACAAACTTAACATGTAAGAAAAACTAACATGGTTTTTTTCCTGGGGCTTAGAAACTCTTTTAAAAATATTATAATATATTATTAATTTAATTATAAAGGCTCATAAAAATATATGTGTAGTATAAGAAAAATATCTAAATTAATTTACAAATTAAATTCAAATAAACCTTTTACACATTTTGAGTTTTGAGAAACTCGACATATTTTTTTTTAATATAATGACTTAGTATGAAGTTATATTTGTGTATGTATTATTTGCTTTATTCATCTATAGTTCTATAGTTCACAGATACTTCAAGGACCAAATCAAAATTGCAGTTTATCAATATGATTTTGATTTTGTATACTATGTAAATGTTGTTTTTATTTATACAAACAATAGTTCTTTTACGGATTTGTAAGAGTTTTGAATATCGATTGTTGTCGTATTTGAGACTGCTAATGAAAAAAAACACTACACAAACACAAATAAAATGAAAATAAATTCAAATTAATTGGAACAATAATCAGGTATTTCAGTTGTAGTCATATGTTTGATAACTTATTTTTTTAATTTAAAATCAAAAATAGTTTTTAATTAAATAAACAGAAAACTTATAGTTGTTGAGTTCAATTATCAAATTTAGTAAATACAAAATAATTTTATTAATATTTTGAAAGTTAATGAACAACAGTGAGTTTATATACAAATATTAAGTTTTAGATTAATAGTTAATTTTCACATACATTAAATTAGTCAATTGTTAAATTGAATCATAATATATTTTTTGAGTGCTAAAAATTTTTTGACGTATAACTACATCAAAATGATATTGAAAAACAAATATTTATTAATTTAAAATAAAAATAATTTAACTTAAATAATAATCAAATATTTATAAAAATAATCCGCGCGAAGCACGGAAACATCCCTAGTTTGGGTATAAAAACAACAGTTTCTGTGGATTTGGTTTAGGGTTCTCTCTTATAATTATCTGATTATGATAACGTTTCTTTAGTGTTTTCATACATCGTATATCCTACAACAATTTACAAACATCGGAGAGTAACAAAACGACAATAACATTTTGACAAATAGATGATTCAAAGAACAAAATAAAGAGACTTCGAATATCATTTAATCGTTATAAACATTTAACCCGTATACTGCAAATCATATTTAAACCCGTGGCCATTGTGGACTCACTACCTACAATAAACAAATAATCAACATTTTATCAATATTTAAGAAAACTGGATTTAATTTGATACGTTAGTGCTTTCTCATATATATAGATGAGACTGACCTCGAGAGTGCTAAAGACCAGTCGCATTCGGCTGGCTACAACCGACGGTTCCTCCGCTTGTCCCGTCACCGCCATTTGCTCCAACTGAAGAGTCTTCACCGGAAGCCTAAACTCAACCGGTAATGGCATTTTCGTAAATACCAAACATCTCATTTTCATCTTAAAATGTTTTTAAAGAAAGAAGAAAAAAAAGATCTTACCATGCCATTCCCCTAATATAGTAAGCATTGGCTATAACCGCGCAAAAGCCTCTCCATTTACTTAGAATCTCATCGGAAACCGAAGGAGCCGATGACCATCTCACGACCGTTGGTTGCGGAGTACACAATATCGTGATGAATACAATGCTAAGCCACAACATGCACTCATCTACCTAAGGACAGCTCCAACTGATAAGACAGAACTAAGATCAGATAAGACTTAGCGTAGTAATATAACTAACTTACCTCGGACAGCAGAATCTTGGATTTGGTCTGTGTGCTTCCGTGGTAATAACTCTCCATCCGCTCGATCTCTAAACCTGATTCTTTCATAGCCATAAGTTCTTTTCTCAAATCTTCGTCTGTGCAACCGAGAGCGTATGCATTCACACCAGCGGAAATGAATTCCTAAAGATACACAAACACACAAACAAAAGAAGAAACGAAAGATGGCTTACATGATGGAGAAGAAAGCTATAATGAAACTAAACTGAGGGAAGTTACTTTTAAGGTTTCGCCTTGACCACGTTCGATCACAGTCCTGTAACGTCTTAAGAGACTTAGAGCTATGTTGCTTGATGAACGGTACTCATCATCATCCGGTGAAATCGTGTTTTTGCGTGAGCGGCAAAACTTGATTGAATTTCAAAAAAAGCTTAGAAGCTACTTATATAGATGTAAAACTTTGTATCCAAGTGACAGAAACTTTAAAAATCACTAACCATACATTTCCTTTGATGATGATTTTGGTCTTTTGAAGAGAAAGATGAATGATAGCTCTCTACATTGCTCCCGGGATTTCGAGAAACAGAACAGCTAATCAGAGGACCAGAAGGCCCGGTCTTGAATCCGCGCAAAGCTGCTTTGAAGCTAAAAGGGGTTTGGAATTTGTTGATAGTTCCCGAAGGATAAGCAGCTAACATTTCTGAACCATATCAATGAAGCAATGGCCTAATCTGCAAAACAGAGAAGCTTCTTCTTTGAAATAAGATGTATAAGATTCTAAAAAAATTATGAGCTAAGAAAGGAAATCAAAAGCTCTGATCTTTGGAAAGTCTCAAGAATCTCCTAATCACTATTCAGAAGCAAAAAACCATCTCAATTACGATAATTTTAATTCATCTGAGATATGAACATAAAAAAGGCTTACCCTTTTATGAAACTCAGATCAGATTCAGCAATTCAACTGCAAATTTTCGGTTTTAAAGTGCCGGCAAAGAATTAAGGGATGAGATGAATCAGGAACTATTAGATTATACGCATGTATACATGTAAGAGGTGAAACTGAAGCCACCAATAATTTGAATGGCTGCCAAAACAAACAAAAAAAAAAATTATCCTGGAAAGGTGGGGTTTCCCAAACGACGTCGTTCAAGCTATAGAAGAGTGACCTATTGATTGACAAAGTAGTTTCCCTAACTTTTTGAAAAGCCAAAACCTTTTCTGTAGAAACCTAGGAGGACCTCTAAACTCTAAAGAAAACTTAAACATCTAAACACATATGAACAAAAAGCTAGGATTCTCTTAAATCAAAGGCATCTAGGGAATTTATACACAAAAATATAGACAATTGATAAAAGCTCTTAGTTCTTGATCATCATACCCTTTGTCCTCTGTTCTCTAGAGGTAGATAAGGAGTTTTAGGCTTCTCTTTGGGAGGCAATGTTTCGGCGACAGGTTTTGTCTTTTTATTTTCTTCTTCTTCTCATTTAAAACTCCACAGGCTTTTTCTTGCAGCTCTAAAGGTTTCACCTTTGTTTAGCCAAAAGCTGTTTAGGTAGGAAAAAAGAACATTATCTCTGAACATCCCCACATCGTTCCCAATTTAATACACTAGAACATTAGTGAAATGATGAAGAGAAGAGAGAAGATTTATAAAGGATATACCTTTATCAGTTTCAATCTGACCAATGGGCTCATAACCTTCATCACGATCCCTTGATTCACGATTCTGATCCCAGTCATTTAGGCATTTCTTAAAAGCTGCTTCTTACGTTGTTGAGTCAACCCAACTTGATCCTCTTTCCTTCTTAATTCTTTTACTCTCCATCGTCATCCTCACTTGGGAAGCTTCGTCCCACAGTCCCATGTCCGCATACATGTTGTACAATAGTACATAAGGCGTTGAGCTCTCTGGTTCGAGTCTCGACATTGCTTCGGCTGCAATATGTGCGAGCCCCACATTGTTATACATCCTACAAGCATCCAATAATGCACCCCATACCGTCTTGTCTGGCTCAAAAGGCATACTCTTTATGATCTCCATGGCCTCCTCAAACTCCCCTTCTCGACTGATTACATCGACCAGTGAAGAATAATGTTCCATCTGCGGAACGATCTTGTATTCACTTACCATGGATAGAAACTGTGCTCTAGCCTCATCAACAAGTCCCGCGTGAGCACAAGCGTTCACAACCGAGACGAATGTTATGTGAGAAGGACGTATCCCGTTGCTTTTCATTGACCTGAACAAATTCAAGGCCTCTGAGACATTACCATGAAAAGCATACCCTCCTATCATTGCATTCCATGTGATCACTTCTCTTTTGATTTTCATTTCATCGAAGATTCTCCTCGACTCCATTATATCGCCACATCTCGAATACATAGTGATGAGAGCATTGTGGACTGGAACGTCGGGGATCACAGTCTTGAAAACGATCTGATGCATCTGCATTCCTAAACGCAGATTCACAAGCCCGGTCGATACGCTGAGAAGAGAAGTTAGAGTATGAGGGTCAGGCTTCTCTCCTTCAATGTTCATCCGTATAAACACATCAAGAGCTTCTTTGTAGCCATTGCTTTTCTCGTAAGCTGCTATGATCGAGTTCCACGAAACTGTGTTCTTCGCAGGCGTTCTTTCAAAGTAGTCACGAGCTAGCTCTACATTGCCAACGCTAGCGAAACCCGAGACCATCATGTTCCACGAGTGTGTATCGCGGTTTGGCATTTCCGAAAACAGAGCAAAAGCCTCTTCCATCTTAGATACATGTACGTATCCATCGATCATCGTGTTCCAAGAAATCGTATCCCGGTCTTTCATCTGATCAAACAGCAACCGCGCAGAGACCACATCACCCACTTTCAAGTAGGCTTTGATCATGGAGTTCCACGACACGAAGTTTCTACAGAAACTCTCTCTAAACCCTCCTCCATGATCAGGAATCTGATCAAACAGACGCCGTGCTGCTTCTACTTGTCCTCTCTGTCCATATCCCACAATCAAAGTGTTATAAGCATACACCAAATCTTCCTTTCCTGAATCTATACTCCCATACTGAGCCAAAACCCACGCAGCTTCTTCAAGCTTCTCATTTTTGATAAGACCTGAGACAAGTGCACATAGAGAAGACGAATCCTTCTCCGGCATTCTTCGAAACAACTCAACCGCGCGATTCACTTCACCGTTCTGGCAAAACCCATTGATCATGGCGCTCCATGACACAGCATTTCTATGAGGCATCCTCTCGAATAGCAACAGAGCTTCACTTATCCTCCGATTCTTTGCATAACCACTTATCATCGTGTTCCAAGTAAAAGAATCCCTCGAAGGCATTTCATCGAACAGCTTTCTTGCTTCCTCGAGAAATCTAACACCTCCACACGAAACGTAACCCGAAATCATCGCGTTCCAAGTCACAACATCTCTCTCAGTCATTTCGTCGAACAGTTTCCGTGCTTTCGTCATTTCCCTCCTCTTAACATACCCGCTTATCATCGTGTTCCATGTCACGGTGTTCCTCGCCTCCAGTTTCTCGAAAATGTCTCTAGCTTCGGCGATATAACCGGATCTTATCATCTGGTTTAACTCCTTGTTCGTCGCCCGAAAACCCAAGCTTGACGAAAATGTCGAAGAAGAGAATGAGTTCGCCCATAAACATTTCAGACATGATGTTCGATATGCCTTACTGAAAATCAACAAGACACCGCGTGATCGGCTCATCGTCGTCGACGGCGAAAAGTTCGAATCGCGGCTATCCAAAAAAAAACTAATAAAGCCTCTACCTTTGAAAATGGAGGTGGTCGAATCGAATTTTACCAGTCGGGTAAATTTGGTTAAGTGGATGTATTGAATTGATTCGGGTTTACATTGTTTAAACCGATATTGTTTCGGTTCAATTCGGACATTCTCAGTTTACAGTGTTTGATTAAATAAAACTGAAACTACAGCGTAGAAAAATAATGAAATTTAGTAGGGGTTATTGGTTCTTGTATTTTGGTAGATTTAGAAATCATCTTTGGATTTGATAAATTTATTGATTTTAAAATCAGCAAAATAGAAAAAATTCAATTCAATTCAAATACTAAGAAGGTGTTATTGGTTCTTGTATTTTAATAGATTCGAGAATCCAAACCAAATTCAGTGTTATTGGTTTTTGTATTTTAAAATCTATATTGAAATACAGTGTTATTGGTTCTATGATTTTAAAATCCATAATGAAATACATTGTTATTGGTTCTATCATTTTAAAATCTAAATTTTATAAAGATTTAGGAGGTGTTATTGGTTCTTGTATTTTAATGGATTTGAGAATCTAAACCAAATTCAATGTTATTGGTTCTTGTATTTTAAAATTTATATTAAAATACAGTGTTATTGGTTCTATGATTTTAAAATCCATAATGAAATACAGTGTTATTGGTTCTATCATTTTAGAATCTAAATATTATAAGGATTTGAGTTTTAATTGAATTTAAATGGATTTGGAAGGATTTTCATGACTAAAATACAAAGACCCAAATACAAGGTCTAACTTTGGTATTTGAGTAGATTTGATTTTTTTTTCATTTTGCTGATTTTGAAATCAATAAATTTATTAAATTCAAAGAAGATTTATAAATCCACCAAAATACAAGAACCAATAACCCCTACTTAAGTTTAAATTGAATTTGAATGGATTTGGAAGGATTTTCATGACTAAAATACAAACACTCAAATACAAGGTCTAATCTTAGTATTTGAATTGGATTTGATTTTTTCTATTTTGCTGATTTTGAAATCAATAAATTTATCAAATCCAAAGATGATTTCTAAATCCACCAAAATACAAGAACCAATAATCTCTACTAAGATTATATCTTGTATTTGAGTGTTTATATTTTAGTCATGAAAATCCTTCCAAATCCATTCAAATTCAATTAAAACTTAAATCTTTATAAAATTTAGATTTTAAAATGATAGAACCAATAACAATGTATTTCATTATGAATTTTAAAATCATAGAACCAATAACACTGTATTTCAATATAGATTTTAAAATACAAGAACCAATAACACTGAATTTGGTTTGGATTCTCGAATCCATTAAAATACAAGAACCAATAACACCTCCTTAAATTAGAGAGATAATTTCAAATTCCATCAAAGTATAAGGACTAACGTAATAAATTGAAATATTTTCAAAAAGAATACAAATTGGAATTAAAATACAAGGACTAACGTAATAAAAATACTGAATACAAATTCACAAACACATTGATTGATCTCCTCACGACTTCAATTTTTTTTTTCTCTTCTTTGATTGATCACTGTAGCATTTGGATCCGGTGAGACTTTTAACCTCACGAATTGAGAAAACCCATCGATTAGAAAATCGTAACGATGCAGCAATTGTTGTTCGCGGTCGTATGGCTGGAGGTCGCTGTGATAATCGCGTTTTCTTTCAAAACGCCGATTAGGAAGCTTTTGATCATGGGGCTAGATCGATCGAAGCGTGGACGCGGACCAATGGTGGTCAAAACTGTGTCGGCGACTGTTTGTGTGGTTTTGGTTTCGAGCGTTTACGGTATGATGAAGATCCAGAAACGTCGGGTCGATGACGGTTCGAATAATCCGACGGACGAAGTTATAATGGCTAAGCATCTCCTTGAATCGACTCTTATGGGTAAGTTTCTCCCTCGAAATTTGAGATTAGGGTTGTTGCTAATTTGATGTTTTAGGTGTTGGATTTGATTTGGATATCGATTATCTTCTCTGATTGAAACAAAGTTTTGTCTTTTGAAATTGGGTTTTGAATCGATTTCGAAAATTTGTTTTTTTTTTGTTTTTCTTGCAGGAGGAGTTCTTTTCCTTGGGCTAATGATAGACAGGTTGCATCATTACATGAGAGAGCTACGTATAAGAAGGAAGAGCATGGAAGCTATGAAGAAGCAAGCACTTGGTTCCGAAAGTGGAAAGTCTGGAGCTTCAGACGAAATTAGAAAGCTTGAGGATGAATCAAAGTCCCTATTGGAAAAGCAAAAGGAGTTGGAGTCTGAGCTTGAGACAATGTCTAAAGAAGTTCGGAGTGAGGAATCTAGTGGAGCTGCTCTGCAGAAACAGTCTGAAGGGTTTCTCACTGAGCTTAACCGGTTGCTTGAGGAAAACCAGAATCTACGAGACCGGTTGCACAATTTGGATATGAAATCATCAGGCTCAAGCGTCAAGAAGACTACTTGAGGTTATATCCAAACTTTTTTAACCTTTTTTAAGAGCTTCCTTTTGAGTTTTGTTACTGTGTTTTTGTTAACACGTGAGGTGATTGATGGGGAAAAAACAGAGAATACTCGTGAAAGTGATGCAATCTCAGCAAAATTGTATTAACACGTTGTAAATTCTTACGCAGCTAGTTCTTATTTGTATCCCATGTGTTTATGAATTGCGCATTATGCGATTTTTATTTGTGTTTTGGGGCAAAAGCGACATTTTGAATCTTTTCATCGACTTCTTTAAATGTTTTGGCCTACAGACTGGAAAATGATTTGTAAGACAAATATAATTGCATTTTCGTCAACATTAGTTTGTAAACGTAATTGTTTTGGGCATAAACAATTTTTTTTTAAATGTAGAGGTAACTTTAAAGGACATGAAACTACAAGGACTAATATGATAAATACGGGAACGTTTTTTTTTTGAAAAAATATTAAAAAAAAATACAATTGAATCCCTCACGTCACACGACTGCAACTTGTTCCTTCATTGCATTGGGGGAAAAAGTTTCCGGATCACACGTCTGATTCCAGTAACCTCACGAATTGAGAAAACCCTAGAATCGCATTCACGACGCAGCATCTGTTTGTTCGCGGTCGCACTTTTGGGAGGTCGCTGTGATGTGATCGAGCGAACCGTGAGACCGATGGATCATGGTGGTCAAGACCGTGGCGTGTACAGTATGATGAAGATCCAGGAGCGTTGGGTCGAATCATCTCCGTAAATCGAATCTTATGGGTAAGCAAGCTTGTTGATTCTCTCTTCTTAGATCGTATGTTTTCTCTGTTGAATTTTGGCCATCCTCAGATTGTGTTTCTCAGTCTAGAATTTGAGATTCACATGTTGTTTCGATAACTAAGATTAGGATGTTGCAATTTCTGGAATACAGTGATTTGATGTATTGAATTGGAGATTTTTCCATAAAGCTTTAATAATTCGTTTTCCTGCAACTCTGCAAGATTTAATATTTGAAATTGGCTTTTGGGTTTTGAAATCGATCTTGAAACTTTGTGGTCTGATGTGGTAAACCTAAGTGGTGTTTCTTGCAGGAGAATTACACGAGAAGCTATGAAAAAAAGCAAGCACTGTGTTTTGAAAAATGGAAAGATAAAATTAAAAAAAGCTGGAGGATGAAGAAGACTCTGAACTTGAGATATAATCTCTTTTCGCTTTGCTTACAAAGTCGCATTAAATGGAGATGATTTTAGCTGGTCTTTTGGACCAGTACCAGAACCGAAGACAGGATCAGGTCTGAGTAGTCTATTGCTGTTTGCTGCTGTCAGTATCATCACACCGAGGAAGATCAAAACTGAGATGGATGAGAATACAAGCATCAATCCAGAAGCAACCTGGTCTTTCACCTCTTGCGCGTACTGAACCGAGACTAGAGCAAGAAAGGTGATGGGGAACGAGTAAGCCCACCATGCGACATTGAATCTTTTCATCGACTTCTTGAAAAGATTTGGCCTACAAACCTGAAAAACGTTTATAAAATAAAAGATAAGGTTAAATCTCTTGTCAATACAGTTTTATGTTTGATTCTTGGTATTGAATCCAAGAAATAGCACTTACCAAGGACATGAAGATGAAGAGGGAAAGGAAGAACAGCATCTTCGCTAGGTTATCGAAGGTTCCACTAATGGAGCTCCAAGATAGACTTGCCATGGCTGGTGCAGCGAAGAACAAGAAGAAAACCGGTCTCAGCTTCGTTGGGAAGTTGTTTCCGCCTGGTAAGCGTTGATAGAGTGTGACGAAGATAACCAAATAGTGAACCATCCCGAGAGAGAACAAGCACAGAGCACACTCTCTCCAACCCATCTCTGCTGCTCCCCGTGCAGCGACTAGGTTTGCGATTACTGACACTTGGCTTGCCGGGTTTGCCATCATCGACAAGAACCTTTTCTCTGTTGTGAACCACTGGCCGTAGAGCTTTGTGTCGAGAGTCAAGACTGGGATAGCGAACACCGAGAACAGTGCTTGATACAGAACGCTTTGTGGCTCCAACTTCGGAGCTGATTGAAGCAAGATAAGCCATGAGATGGATGGAGCGTAAAGATAGTTCACTCCAATGAAATGCGAGAACTCTTCCTTCACCATGTCGAAGAAGAAATAACACTTCAACGCATACAAGAAACAGAGTGATGCTTGTGTTGCAAGTGCTAGGTACCACAGGAGATGGAACGCCATAGATGGGAGATTGCTATGCATATGGGACATGCTCGATGAATCAGGTGCGATCATTATCTTCCACAGCAGAGCTTGGCTGCAGAGAGAGAGGCTTATTCTGAAATAGCCCGCGTGGAGACTACTCAAAACAGACATCAGAACAATGGGCTTAGCATCATCGAGGTCAGTGTTGATCTCTTTAGTGCTCGGTATTGAATCATCGATTTTGATATGAACTTCTTGCTTAGGAGTTTCCAAGCTTGCCATCTCGGTATGTGGATGAAAGAAGCTTGTTTGGCTTTATGTTGTTTCTAACCTTAGGATAGAGTTCGTATATGTAGGCAGAGAAACTAATGAAGATTAATTAGCACAAAGCACACGTGATTTAGGAGGGTTTAGTTAGTGTTGGACAAGGATGTTTACTTAAAAGGTAATGGAATCTCATAAGGATGGCCACTTTTGGTAACATTTTTTTTGTTAAGTTCTAACAACTTGTATAATAGTAGTACAATCTCAACATTTGTTGTGTTTAGCTTCATGAATTCACATAAAAGACCATTCCAGTTGATCACTTTACAGATTAATAATCTTTAATATATATTTCCTACTTTACCTAACTGGTACCATTATAATTTGAACAGGATTATTAGGTTTTCTTATCGTAGGATGTTTACCACTAGCTCTAAAGAAGACTGATGGCAGCGACCCACTAATCCTCAAATTCTTCTAATAATCTTTAAGATAGAATTCAAAGTTATATAAAACAATTAATATTGCTGTAAAGATGATAAGCTTTTTTCTGCAGAGTCAAATGCATTCACCTATTGATCGACGTCAAGAGCCAATGCCTAAGCTCGAGGGACAGCTCACACGTTTTGTGAGCCATTGCAGCATACAAGTGGAGATCATAATAAGTGGTAAGTTTTTGGGTAATTTTGAATTTAAATCAAGCATTAGTTTCTTAAGAATGTGAGTTTTTGCTTCATATATATGAATATGAGACTCAGTATTTTTAGGTTTATATGTTTATATGTAGAGTATTTAGCTGAACATGGGAACTTTATTTAAAATTCAACGAAATTATAATCAATAGGTTTTGCAAAGTTAAAGTCTAAGTTGGATTTATAATAGATGCTAATTTTTGTCAGCAACTCACTACGACATTATAATGTGGGGTTTGTGTAGACGATTAAATTAGCTGTCTTTGGCTTAGTACAACATATATTACCCAAAGAAATATTTATAAATTGGTGATTTACAAATAGTAAAGGATAAAATGGTGGGATATATTTGGATAAATGAGTCATGACGCATATATGCTGGAGTCTGTCACAAGTAAGTGTTGGTAATAGCAATGAATAATTGGTCGAAGCTGTTTGAATATATGCAAAATCTTTTAGGGCCAATGACATAAATAGGAACTTGAAACCATTTGAAACTTTTCGTTTTTATAGAAAAAAAGCATCTCTCAAGATGAAAATTCAGTGGTTTTAATTCAATTACTGATAATGGAGTAACATCCGTAATTATTATCCGAATAATATGAGATTATATTTGATTAAAGCAGAGTTTAGAAATTTGCCATTTGCAGAATGAAAACGTTCCCCAAAGCTTCATTCAACATATGTTTATGGCAAAGCATTGTCTTTTTTTTGTGTTTTGTTAATAGCCAACCATTTTATTACATAGTTAACTACTTTACAATATAACACAGCTATTTATTTTTTTAATAAGTAACTATTTATTGGAGTAAAGAAACAGAGAAAGAAGCTCAGCCTCAAAACGACAGAACTTTGCCAGGTGATTACAAGGCCAAACCAAAGATAAACCTAACGTTGATCAAGCCTCATTCAAAAACAGAGTACAAGGCAGAGTATACAAAGCAAAGAAAGTGCGACAAAGACTTGTACGGAGAACGCTTATACAATCAAACATCCAAACCTGTCATTGTCAAACCAATTTGAGGTTCTTTTGTATAAATAGAAGAAGAACACAGAGATGATGATGACATCTGTTGTAAACTCTTAGGGTTTTGCTTCTTTGTATAAATAGAAGAAGAACCAATTGTAGTAACACCTTAAAGGTGAGATACTAAAGAAAATTTTATCTTCTCATTCACTTTTCTGTGTGTTTAAATTATATATTATTGAATGTATATGCCCAGTATTATGTCTATGTTCTTATGTAAACTGGTACAACAACTATAAAGCATAAACTAATATCTTTTGGTATAATGCTCTGATTTGCCTGGTTTGTATATAAACCCCCAGTTTTTACCAACTAATGATAATATGTCAATATCTCAAATTTTTAAAGCAGGGCTTGATTGTAATTAGTTTCAGGATTAAAAAGTAGATGAAACAACTTAGCAACGGATTAACAACAAAAAAGACTTCAACTTACCATCAGAATATTAATTTACAGAAGCAGAGTGAGATAAGAAAGAGTCTAACTCAAGTCAACAAGTATAAAGAAGTCTCACAACACAACAAAGCTCTCACACAAACACATAACAGATGTTGTCTTTTTTCTTTTTACGCAGCTTCTGCGAAGCCAACCTGCTCGTTGCCAAAGTCAAAGACAGTGTGGTATCTTCCCATAAACGTATCTCCCAGTATCCTGCCCAAAGATCCAAAAATCAAAAACTATATGAATCCAACATTGTAATAGGAAATAATCATCAAGAATGTGTATATTTTGTATGCCGAGAGAATTACCAGAGAGGTCCACGAGGTGGAGCGATGTCAATTGCGGTAAAGCCGCTTATGCATTGTGCCACTGGTCCTACCCCAATCTTCAATACGTACTGTTGAATCCCACAAACGTTATCAGTCAAGATATGTTCAAAAAATGTTACAAAGTCTCATCATTATAGCATGCAGCTCTAAAAACAAAATACCTCTTCTGGAGTAAGATCAAAGACTTTGCCTCCAATGGTGAATGAAACCGTAGGCATTTTAGAGAGTTGTGAGCAGTCAACCGCAGACTCTCCGTTAGGACTAGGCATTCGTTCGCACATCTGTGGGATTTTGGGATCAGAACAAGAACAAGAACAAGTGCTGTATTTCAAGAAAACAGTATAAATTCTTCTTACGTCATTAATGTAGTTCACTATGCGCTCTTGAGTCATGTTCTGCTTTAACTGGCTCTGTATCCACACAACCGCCATTTCACACGCAACACAACCAGCATCTCGAAGACCACGAGGCGATTTTGTGTTTTCCATGTCCACCACAGACTCAATCCCCATACTTAAACATAACATAACAACACTCAATATACATAAAAGAAGACCACGAAAACGTGTCTACATGATTGTTGGAAATAATCATTAGATACTTAACCTGACCCCGCGAGTGCCGTCGAAAATGCAAACACCGATTTGTGAGCAGATCTTCTTTGGTTGAGTCTGGAAGAAGTAAAAAGAGTTGCATATACAAATATGATTTTGTTGCTTCTGTACCAAGTTAACGAATATTTTCTTACCTCGGCCAAAAGTAAATCCAAAATGGTTTGTCCATAGTGATCAACAACAGTCTTGCACTGCTGGCTAACTGCTCCTGATGCTCCAATAGCTTTGTTTATCATTGCAATCACAGTCTTAGGCATAAAGATAACAAACATTAAACAAAACATGGGAAGATTTTTAAGAATACTTGATGATTAAACTTAACCCTTGATGTTTATTGTTTACCGTTGGCCCTGCGAGTAAAGATGTTCCCGAATCTGCTACCGCAGAACAGCCACTTTCACAGTACCCTGTTACAAAATGCTTCACCATTTTCTGAAAACAACTATATCTCGATCAAAGAAAACGAAATAACGAAACTGATACACGTACCAGTAGATTTACCGGCAATGAGAACCTCACCCATGTCGAACTATTTACCAAAAGAATAACTTGAGTGAGACATGATTAAGGAAACATTCATAGGAAAGCAAGAAAGTAAGTAAAGAACAAACCTGCCAGTAACCTCTTTGTGTCACAGGAACATATAAATGCTCTCCTTTAAAATGCTTTGGATCAACACCTCCGAATACAAGTTCACCGCCTTCTTCACTCTCTGGATCACGGTTAAGCCAAAACGAAAACACCGGCTTCTTGATAAGCCCTTGCTTGAGCATGTTGTACCTTTAAGAAAACAAACATCTTCTGTTAACACATCAAACATTACAAGAGTGTGTGTGTGTGTAAATAAGTAACAGGATGAGGAGTGAAGTGCACGCATACCAAACAGGAGTGGCGTTACCAACGGAGATTTCTTGGAATCCAAGACCAAGAATACCATCAAATTTAGCAACCAAGAATGTTAAACCAGGCTCGCTTGTTGCTTCAATAAACTCCTGAAGAGATAAGGCAATGGACAGAAAAGTGAAAAACATAAGCATTAAAAGTAGTTTTAGAATTATATAATATAACTTACCTGATCTTTGACAACCAAATCACCAACTGTGACAGCATCATAACTAAAGAAACCAGAGATTGATCCAGTGCCGTAACGTATTGCGGCTCTTTTTCCTGTGGCATACATACATACAATAGAGCTTATATCAATATTAATGCAAGAACCAAAAAGAGATAGTGTACGTACCACTCTTCTTATATGTGCTTGAACGTGAAGACTTGTACTTGGTATGGAAGTAACAAGACAGCTAAATAAAGAAAAGAACGTAATTAGTTCTTCTCTAATATTGAATCTTAAATCATATTTTAGCTCAAAGAAAAAAAGCTTACCGAGAAATAACATTGTGCTGATGGTACCCAGAGGTTAGAGCTTCCCGTGTCGAATATCACCGTGAATTTCTGCGGCGGAGTACCGATAGCAATCTCACCATAGTACTGAGCATCCAAGTAATTCTTCAGCGCGACAATGTCGGCATCTCCAGAATCTCCGAGAATATTGTTGTTCTTGTTCGAACCGAACTCTTTTAAAGAAGATCTAAAGACCTCTTCTTGCTTGGAACCAAAGCGTGTTGCAAGTCGATTGTTAGGATCCAGCTTTATTTTCTTCAAGCCGATTCTGAATGTTCCATCATTGCGCTTAGAAGACGCGGAACAAAACAACAGGAAGGACATAAAGAGTGAAACCGCAATTGTTCTTGAGTGTACGCCCATTTTTCACCTATTAATTAATTAATTAATTGTCATCAAACAAGTATCTGAAACAAATAAGAGTTACAAGAACATGCAACTCTACTAAGGCAACTGTTAAATCACATTTTGAACATTTTCAAGACATTATATCTCACTAATTTAAACAAAACCTAAATTAGTTACAAACGTACAAAACTAGACTTCTTGATAAATTATCAAGGAAAAAAAAAATATACCGGCTGACGACAAAATCTAAAATTATCCATGCCCCAAAAAAAAGAACAAAACCATATAACAAATGATAAAAAGGTGAAACATTGCTTTCAATAACAACTCCACCAAAAACATATAGATTAGAAGAATATTTATTTTTAAACCGATTAGTAACACGAAAATGTAACAAACTGAGAGGGAATAACATATATTTATTTTTTTATATATGAAACGAATTAGGAAAAAATTTCATTGGTCTCACCATAACCTACGAAAAATTACAAAATCATCAGTAAGATTGCAAAACCAAACCAACTCAAAAGCTTTAATTAAAAAAAAAAATTGATCAAACAGAACAAATATTCATCCGATTGCAGAATCAAACCAACTCTAAAGGTCCAATCAATTCAACAATTTTTAATTAAATGCGCAAAACAGACATGCAAAAACAGAGCAGCATTCACTAAACAAATATCCAAGCGAATCTAGACACGGATCATGCAAAAACCACAACATCGTAAAAACGAAATTAATAGTACCGAACACAACAGTCAGATTTAGCAAAAAGAACCTGCGAGATAATCAAAAACTTTGGAAAATTATGGGATAAAAAAACGAGAGAAATGGTAATGAAATCAATAAGTAGAACTGTAGAAGTGAAGAGCTCACCAGAGGTTTAAGCAGCAGATTCCTCAGAATATGTATGTGAAAAACAGTTTCATCAATTATGCTAAATGCTAAAATGCTGCCACGATAATTACAACGGGTCCCACATAGTAAACCAGTAATAGAGGTATTTCAATCTTAACCGTTGGATCTATCAGATTACCGTTGACGTTGCGATAAGATATGGCCCACCAACTTTGTTTGTTGCACTCCGATGTTCTCCAGCTTAACTTAATTCACGTGGACCTTTCGAACTTTTAACCGTTGATTTTGACGGGCCTTTATTTTTTTTCCTCTTTTCTTCAGTGTCTAAGAGTTTGACATAACCGAAGTAAACCAAACCAAACCAAAGAAAATGTATTCGATTTCAAATGTGGTTTGAGTTCCTTGACTGAAACTAATCCAACCATGTTACAATAGCATGTAATCAATTGAGAGTATCTAACAAAAACAGGCCCAAACAGGGCCCAACCATTTAACATTCCGTAAATTTTGCCAACTAATGGTCCGAAAGCCCATGTTTATAAAGTTATACTGAATGGGCTTTATGACTTAAACATTAGGCCCAATATTCGACTCAACTAGAAAATAGAAATCACGATGGGGCGATCAGATTTCCTTCTTTTTTTTTTTTTTTTTTTTGTCGGATCAGATTTCCTTCTTAAAACATTCTTTTAAAGAAATTTCCTTTTAAGATTCCAGAGGAAAAGGAAAAATATTCGGGTATATACATAACACTATAACACACTTTCGGGCACTTGTGTTTGATTTTGCAATCCACTTCAACGAGAGAGTAAAGGAAAATTCACCAGCGATTTTCAAAACTTTTAGAGTTCTTGCCTTGGATTTTGGGAGAAAAAAAACATGGAATCTCGCAGAGATCATGTTGCTAATGAGCAGCAAGAATATAATCTCATCATCGATGACGATGATCTAAAGAAACTGATCAGTTATAATACTCGTTCCATGTTTTATAAGATCGCTACCATACTTGTCATCACCATTCTCTTTGTGTCAATCCACACTCTATGGTTTGACATCGCAAACGAAAGCACGATGTACAAGCTCACGTATGCTTTCTTGGGTGTTGCAACCATACCATACATTGGTTTGCTAGTGAGTAGTTGCATGTACAAGGCTGTTCCGGTTCCGAGTTACCGGCTAGGACCAGATGGACGGTTTAGCATCTACCTAGCTACAACGATTATAGCGTATTGCATAGCTTGTAATATCAAAGACGTTAATGTCATGGTGGAATTAACAACGCTAGCTATTATGGTTGTAGTGGGAGTGATTGCAATCGTTCAGCTATATTCTCCTGCTGATGATTTAGGTATCGAGGAGATCGTAATCATAATGAGTTTAGGATCGATTTTTGGTATTTTGGGTTGCATTGCACAATATTCGTGGATGTCCTTCTTTGGTACCATCTGTATCTCTCTGATGGTTATGTGTATCATCAAATCTTGGGAACAACAACGAGATCATCATCGTCGCAAGTCACTTCTTCCAGTTTAACTCTCTTTTTGTTCTCTAGTGACCCTTTTGGGTTTTTTTTTTAATATATTACCACTTTATATCTCTGATTTTGTAATAACCATGTCGATCTTTATTGATCAATCTTGAATTTTTTACATTAATGTACGGACTGATTTTAGTGGATATAGCTATTTTTTACATAACACTAGCAATCAGTATCTAATTAAAACTACAAACAAAACATTAAGAATATGTTGTTGTATCTCTATGACTGGCTAGCTAGATAATTTTTTTAATTAGAAAAATATGTTGGTACTCTCGTTGAGATCCACATTCAAATGGTTCAACATTACCCGGTTTCTTATTATTTTTTGTAGATTGGTTAAACATTACCCGTTTCATATCAGGTTTATAATTTATTTTAAAAATTGTTAGTTCCAAATATCCAAAATTTCGAATTCAATCAACATTGGACTAGACCAAATTTGATCCAGTTGACGTTTCAAATATCATATTATTAATTGAGAAGCAAGTTAGGCTGCTGTTTAGAGTTATATGTTGATTACATTTTATCCCTTATGTGAATTTACTTTAATTAGCCTTAATGAAATTAATAAATTAATATAATCTAATTTTTAATTAATTTTTTCGTTTTTTTAAATCTAGATTTCCAAATTCGAGTTTATATCATAAAAAATTAAGTTTACTAAAAAAGATAACTAGCATAAATAAATAAATAATCATAATTATTTCATTAAACTAATTTTAATTTGATTGTTTAATCTAATAATATTTTTGAATAACCTAATTAATTTATGCGACCACAAGTAAAACTCTAAATCATTTAAACTCTTTTAAAACTCTATATATATTAATTAATGTTAAGTTGATATGAAACAATCCTTTTGTTTTGGTCATTTTGGATTGCTAAGTTTTTTATTTATGTAAACTTTGAATTTCATTAATCTTAATCTACCAATTTATATCAAAAGAAGAGAATTATTTATCATATTTTATAAATGCAAGAAAACAACAAAACATACATGTTTTTATCGGATATAAAAAAATATTTAAAAAATAAGATATAAATAATCTATTTTGTTTTGTCACAAGAAATAATATACTCATAAAAATTGTATTTTTTCAAATATATTAAGTTTGGTTTTAAATCATTATCAAATCTGATTTATATATAAATAAACTAATATTATACTTTAGAAAAAAAATTAATCGAACTCTGCACAAAGTACGAAGAAACACCTAATATAAATATATTGAATATATATTATTCTGCATTGAAATTCAAAACGATAATATTGAATAAAAAGGCTGCTAGCTAGATATATCAATAATATTGTACTATAAATATATGTATATCGAATCAACCCATTGTTTTAACTTTGAACCTACCATGTTTTACTAACAACCAATGAGATGTCTTGAATTACGAAGAGTTCCAAAGAAGGAAGAGTAGGTTAGAAAGAGTATATATGACCACATGCAGACATGTGATCACTCAACGTCAACGACTCCATTACCAAAAGTCGTAGAGAAGTCTCTCTTCTCGACCTCACGCAAACCACAAAAGGGCGCGGCTTTATGATGATTTTTTTGTGACTTCACGATAAAACATGGCGGCTTTTATCGCCCATGACTTTGCATTTTTTTCATTTAATCTCTGAGATATGTATATAATATGAGGAAATGTTCACCACAAAATTCGTCATTCGATCTATACATTTTTTTTATTACGATCTTTTTCTTGCATATTTTATGATATAATAAAAATGAATACGAAATTAGTCATTACACAAATGATTAAATGATGCATTTTTGTATCGATTATGGGTCCCTGTTTTAAGCAGTGCAACAACCAAATTTGTATATAGATTTAGTAAACCCTAGCTAGCTAATATACATTAATCGTTACACAGAAAATTAGTTTGAATTTCCTAGATTTATAATTTTTTTTTAGCCCAAAATCTTTTCATCTTTTTCTAAAGAGTAAGCACATCTTTGTAACAACCGGATTACCATATCCAAATTTTGCAATTTAGTGAATCATAGTATGCATATGATGAATATGATCATGCGGACTCTGCGTGATAACGGTTGTGGGTTATGATCACATGAATTTTATTTTATTTTTACTGTCGTGTTCACTTGAAATATTTTTGGATCTAACCATATTGGGATAAAATTATATATATAGTTATCCAATTGAAGTTAATTTAGGCTATAATGCCAATTCAACTTTGCTTTTGAAGTCGAGTTCTGTGAGTTTATTATTGGTTGAAATCGGTTTACTTTGTTTGGAAGATAAAAATTAGTAGTACAAGATTCTAAATGAGATTTCCAACAAATATCACAAATAAAATACTGAGAGCTGGAGAGGCATCTCGGATCGGAAGCAGATAAACAATTATTTTAGTTTTTAATGAATTTTAAATTAAGCATAATAAATATTTGTATTAAAAAAATGTATTATTGGCAAATCATGACCCCACGTCAACTGGAGTTGCACGGAAAGTCAACAACGTACTTTTGCGTATCGCTTCCTTCCAAAGTTTGAGATATTATTCTTTATTTACAATCATATTATTAATTGAGTTAGGCTGTGATCAAGAATTATAATAATTGATTATTATTTGTCTTTTATATAAAAATAAAAAAAAAATATTTATTTTTAATAAAATTAACAAATTAATATAATCTAATTTTTCATTTTTATTTTAGTTAAAGCTAAATTTTCAAATTCGAGTTTATATCATAAGAATATTTAGTTTACTAAAAAAAAAAATTAGCATAAATCACAAAAAATCAATTCTAATTATTTTTTAAATTAATTTTAATTTGATCGTTTAACCTACTAATATTTTTGATTAATCTAATTGATTTATGCGGTCACAAGTAAAACTCTAAATCTTATGAAAATTGATTTATGTAGCCAAAAAATAATATATCTCATGAAAATTTTATTTTTCAAATAAATTAATTTTGATTTCAAATAATTATAAAATCTGATTTTTTATCTATAAATAAACTAATGTTATTATTTTTTCAAAAAAATAATCGAACCCCGTACCTTGTGCAAAAAAATACCTAATTTTAATAATCCCACCGAATTAATTAATTAACTAAATAAGTAAGGAAAAATATTATTTTTCAGTTAACAGAAATTTCTTCATTTTAACAAAACTAACAGTATCAAAAACTAAAATTATTCAACTATCCCCACTCTATTTTTTACCTCATAGAAATGAAGAAATTGACTAAGCCGAACTTTTCATTATTTTGCCAAATTTTCTGGTCACCTATTTCGGTTTATTGATTTTTCATATTAATCACGCCATTTAAACTCGTAGTTTCTAGGAAGCTGTTTCTGTTTGTTAGCAATATTAAAACGGACAGAGTTTTAGGTGACTTCATTAGACTGCGATTACGTGTCAAACTGTTATGGCAGCATTTATTGACCTTTGCAATTGTCATATACGTATAATAAAGATTTTTTTAAATGTTCAATAAGTGTCATTATGTAGTACACTTATTTGACGTTATCTCATTGAAGGTACTGCCAAACTATTAGGTTCCTGTAATTAGCGCTCACATGTCGTGTAGTATATATAGTATCATACAAACAAAAGAAACTTCATTACTGTATTAAAGACAATGCTAAGATACGTAACTAATTTTTATACATCTACAAATAAAAAGCTAAATTATTATTCGAAATTAAAATCTTTTTTCTTTTGTATATTTACTGGAAGTTTGGTACGAAACAGAACAAATACGAATCAATGAAATAAACTCTCTGTTTCCTATGACCAGTTGAAAAAAAAAAAGAATGGAGATGTAATAAACAAAAACAAAACAATTGTAATCTTTTTTTTTCTACTGATTTTTATTGTTTCCTCCGCCGTCATGGTGATTCGAACCATTGATCATAGAAGAAATAACGGCTGCAAGAGCCGCTGTAAAATTCGGATCAGCGGTGAGTGCTGTTATTGTATCAGCCACCGCGTGCGGCTGTGAAAACGCCGTCGACGGAGAGCCACCGGAAAACTGCAGCCCGGAGAATTTGGATTGGTTATACAATGCCTGGCCTATTACATGAGGTAACATACCCGTGGATAAGTTGGACATTTGTTGTTGCTGCTGCTGCTGCTGTGGCCGCTGCATTAATGAGTTGTGGTTGGAAGCGGCGGCTGTAGAAGAAGAGGAGTTGGAAGCATTAGGAGGCGGAGGCGTGTGGGTGAGGTCTAATGTGACGGTAGGGAACGGTGCGGAGGCTGAGATTGTAGCCATGCTTGTGGAGCAAGGAAGAACAGCCCTAGCTAGTAAATTGGTAGGGTTCATCATCCCATCATTACTAGACATTGATCCGGATAGCAACATGTTCGCTGCGGCTGTGGTGGTCGAAGCCATCGCCACCGCGGCTGGCGGCAACGGATGGCTGTGGTTTCCCTCGTAGGTCGTTATCAGAATCGATCTATCCTCCGCACAACGTTGAACCTATTTATCATTTTTGAATCACACTTATTAGCCAATCACTCAAACGAGTACATTCTCAATCTCTAACGTTTTTTTTATATAAGATGTCATGATTAGTCTAGTTTTAAGCTTTATATACGTACTTGTTTGCGAACGGGACAACCCGTAGCCATCGTACAACGATAATAAGCCCGAGGACAAGGGTTCCCTTTAGCCATCTTCTGGCCGTATTTTCTCCATTGACATCCATCACTTATCTATAGAAGCACAAACATAATTAGTCTTTTTAGCGTATAGTTTACTTATTTTTGTGATGTTAAGTCTAATTAAATCGACTGTAAAGTATTGTATAAGTCAAGTAGTACTTACCATGGGAGCTTCTGATCGGGCACGAACCGAGACACGAGCTTTCCTCATCGTAGCCTCAGCGGTTTGATCAAACGTCGACGGACTACTATTTTTGACTTTCTGAACTTTGTTAGACTCGGTTTCGGGGCTTTCTTCACGCCCAAGTCTCTTTCCGTCTCTTACTTCGTTCCCACGCCTCTCTGCCGGAGAAGAACCGCCCGAACGAGTTCTATCTTCTGACGAAGAGTTCGACAAATCCTCTGCCTCTCTCGCTGCTCTCGTAGGGCCTAGATCGATAAATTGCCTCGGTACTATCGTCTCCTCAGGTTTTCCAGCAGCCTCTATTGCCTAATCACGTAGGTTCAACAATGTTAATTAATTCCCTAAGCGTTTAGGGTAAATTACATTCACTTGTGGTTAATTATTCAATTGTTTAATTACCTTGTTCTGTTGTTGCTGTTGTTGTTGTTGTTGCATTATTGAAAGAAGATGCATCTGAAGTGAAGTGTAATTGTTGTTCACTTGTGTAAGTAATTCTTTAAGCTTTTGATTCTCCATGGTCATTTTCTTCAGCTCATCTTGTAACTTAACCAACTGTTATTAACATTTACAACACATAATATATAAATTAAATCGGTTTGAAACATTTATAAACGAAATTTTATCAACTACGAACGCATGGTAAAATTAGATTAAAAAAATGAAATTTACCTCATTTTTTGCACGCTTCTCTTCCATTTCGGAAGATTCTCCATCGTCGATCACTGATTGATCACTCACGGTATTACCCGTGGTTCGAAGATTCAAACCGGTCTATTCAAATATAAATTCACAAACAATTAATAAATGGCTTTATAAAATGACAAACTTTGAAATTCGTATGTCACATTCAAATTTGAATCCGAATCATTAATTACGGGTCATTAATTAATCAGAATCCGGTCTGAAATTCATATTTTTTTCAATTAATTGTACGATTGATCGAAAAGTTGTACTTACATTTACGTCGGTTCGATCATCATGCTCCTCCTTCTTAACGCGAAGTCCGTCGTCGTCGTCACAAACCCTAGATTTCTTGTCGGAGAAAAAATCCACTTCGCCGGGAACTTCACGGTCGTTTTCTCCAGCGGCGGCTCCACTCGAATAATCATCATCTTCACGGTCACGGATACCGGAGAGACTCACCGGAAACCTAAATTCGCTTCCTGCAGTGGATATTTTCGTCTTTTGATCATCATCGTCGCCAATTCTAGACATGGTCGTCAATGGATTCGAAAAGCGGCGGTGATTGTTATTAAAACGATTAGGGTTTATGAGATCGAGAGAAGATGAATCAAGAGTGAGACCAGACCATCCTCTGTCCATAAATAGAAGAAGAAGATCACGAGATTGACGAAAGGAGAAAGATTGTTAGAGAGAGAGAAAATGAGAGATTTTTTTTTGGGTTTGGTTTAGAGAGAGAGAGAGATATGATCAAGAGATTGTGAAGTCTTCTGCCAGAACATTAAACTCTCCTATAAAAAGGGTTTGGGACGTGGACCGATTTTTTTTTCTTTCGTCACATTATTTTATTTATTAATTAATGTACTTTGATTTTATTTTTCGGAGACTTTTGGTAACAAAAGAAAACAAAATGGGAGATTTTACGTCAGATCCTGCGTCATGCCGGGTCCTAACCCGACCCATAATTCACCCGGTTGCTGAACCCGTTTCATTTTCATGGAAATTGTCAAATTGATACTTCTTTTTTCTTTATTTTTCGTCTAAATATCTATATCATTTGAAAATTACTCAATTATTTTATAATCTTTGAATAAATGATGTAGCTTTTCCACATCATAAATACGTATATAGAGAATTTCATTATATTATTGATAACAGCTGTAAATTTACTTTTTATTTTAGAAATATGGCTGTAGATTTTTTTTTTTATAGTTGTAAATTTATTTCTTTAAAACTTTGGCTATAGTATTATAAAATTTAGAAAGCATAAAATTATATACTTTAAAAAAAGTATTTTATACAGTCGAAAAATAAAAATAAAAGAATGATTTGCACAGATTTGAGTTGTAGACCCAAATATTGCTATGCACAAAATATAAAACAACAACCATTCAAACTCTATAAATACATTTTTTATTATCTCCATCTCCACCATATTAAAAAAATTATCCATTTTTTTTTAATAATCTACAAAAAAATCATTATTAAACTATTTATCAAACTATCATATTTCCACGTTTTTATCTGTATTTGTTTACTTCTTTATCATATTAGTCTAGAAAATATTTAATTCCAGTTATTGTTCCCAAAGAAAGAAAATGATCAATCCGGGTCGAGTAGTATGGTTTGGGTTTATTTAATTTTTAATGTCAAAATCACAAGAAAAATGGTTATGTGGCGCAATGGTCTTCATACTTTAATTTCATCAAGAAAGCGCATTGACTAGTTCTGCTGTTCAAAAGGACGAAAAGTTTGATCCACCGCCCCGTTTACTGCGGCGCGTTCCACGTGATTATCTATTCCTTTTTCTTTTCTTTTCTTTTTTCCATCAATTTATTAATTACTTTCATTTAGCAAAATACAAAAACAGTTGGAAAAAAAAAAAAAAAAAACACAGAGAGATGGGTTAACTGAGTCAACGATTTTGACGGCCCGGCTTCTAATAAGTCTGACTGGAGACCGGGTGCTCCGGTACTTAGGTCTTACTTCCGTGGGCGGCTGGGTCCCGCCCATGTTATAGAGAAACAGTGACCTTACAATTTAGAAAATAGTAATAAATTTGACCAATTTTCTGAGATATGTTGTAAAAATACGCCCTTAATCTCGTATTTTCTAGAATTGTAACTCGTTCTCTAAAGTCAAATTGTTATGTTTGTTGCTTAACACCGACTTATTTTTGTTAAATCATGGTTATCACATGTGATTTGAAAAAATCTTGTACTTCGTTGAAAATGATTATATAATCCTTCTATCAAACATATTACGAAAAATTCAATTCAAGTCTATAAGAACCTGATGATGGTACATGTTTTTACATTAATATATCAAACAAAAACCAATTGCTTATTGGCCGTATGAAGAAAAGGCAAATGGAAAGTTCATAGGTTTGTATTTGAAGAGTTATATAAATCAAACTTTACATGGAATTTGGTAAATATTTTTTTTTGGTGCAAATAATATGTGGAAATGACACAATGAAAATCATTTTTAAATTACAAAAATTATATGCGGATCTAAAACAAATCAGAGCCTTGGAAATATTAAGGATATCAAGGTATATATCTGACTCAAGATTAAAATGAAAAGATTCATTTGTAAATAGAAGAGCTTCACTCATCGCACAAGGTGTAACTAATATACTTTATCAGATGAAAAACAAAAACAAATTTGAGACTCCTCCCTCCTCCATTTAAATTCAATAGTAACATTAAGAAAAGACAGAAAAAAATTCGTAACAAGATTGGTTGACAAAGAAAAACTTGGTTACCAATTTAGAAATATTGGTATAATTTGATTAAATTATAACCTTGTTAGCACCTTGTGAAATATTGAAGAAACTCATAATTACGGTACTATATAATTACCGTGGTTTTTTTGGGTTACCTTTTTGCTACCATATGCTTTTACCGCTAATTCTTTCTGAATTCTGATGATATTTTTTTGGTAGATCCTCATGGTGATTATAAAATAGTCAGAATGATGTGCGATGTCAGATTAAATATAAACTAAATAATTAGATGATGAAGAAACGTGTCACCATGGCTGACATGACATGTTAATTAAAAGTTTGAGGAGATAATAAATTTTAAAATCTATTTGAGTCCACACACGAAGACATAAGAGAGCAAGAGCAAGAAAGACAAGACAGATCTTGTTTAAAATTAAAAGCCTTAAAGGGCTCCCACGTATTGACAAAAGAGATGTAGATCTAGAGTTTTGGTTAGCATGTTGACTGTCTACCGGAACGACCGAGTCATTAGCTTTGACATTTTTTTGCATTTTTGTTTTCTCTGTAATCACATTTAAATATTTAACATTTCAAAGATTATAAAAGATCGAGTAAATCCTTTTATTTTTCTTCTGACCTTTTTGGCACTTTTCTGATTTTCTCCGTCCCTCGTGTTAATGTTACCTCTAATTTGCCAATTTGGAGAAAGTTTTCTTTATCACTAGTTATTTCTCATCTTTTATCATTATAGTTTATAATTATTTTAATACTACTACAATACAAAAGTAAATAAGCTCACGGATTCTGGCAATGCATTTATCATGTGAGAAAATTAATCTGCAAGATAGAAAAAGTTAATAACAAATAAAATTTTCGTAATGTTTTTTTTACATTGATCGTTTATTACTTTCCTATCGATCCATTTACAAAGCCGCGAATCTGATTCCGTTTATTATTGTAAGCCAATTATTTCTTTCGTGTATTTATAAGTTCAGTTATTTCTTAAGTTACAACTTACAAGTTTGTTTGTTAGTAAATGTTATTTAAATAAAGGTTTCGTCATCATCAAGAACTCTCTAATAAACTTTATTACAAAAAGATAATCCAATTGATGCGTTGCATAATTTTGTTAATATCAAGCCACGATGAATTTGTAAATCATTTCACATTGAGACGGAGGAAGGAGCCAAGAAAGCGTGTAAGATGTCAAAAGTGGGTCCACTGAAAATTATAAACTAAATAAATAAAGAGTTAAATTTTATATCAGTTTAAAAGCTTAGTCCTTTAGGGAAAAATATTAAATGGTTAAAAGAAAAGAAGAAGAAAATCTGCAGAGCTGTCTGAGATTTGCGTTGACCAACATGATACTATCCCACGTGGCCGAGTTCGCATGACGTAGAAATCTTGTGGACAATAGTTTTGGGTTTACAAGTAACTTATCTAGGACTATTGATGCTTTTCACACTTATTATATGCACGTTTCGATATTTAGCTCTGTCCTTTAACAACAAATAAGAAAAAAATAGGTCTGTACTTATTTTTTGGCTATATGAATATAAATGTATTGATATGATGAGATGAGATGAGATCATGCGGGACATCTTCAACTTCTTAAATATTATGGCGCAGTCAGCAACCTGATTTTTATCCAAATCGGTGAAAAGTTATGAATCGGTGATGATTAATGTCTTACATCTATTCATATCTGATTTTTTTTAGAAAATATATACATTCATAAATTTAAAATATTAAACATAGTTTTTTATGCCTGCAAATAATCTATTTGAAATGGTACTAGACTCTGCGATTCAATCTACTTCGTTTATTCAAAGTTGTTTCTTGATACTAGAAAGTAGAGAAACCAACGTCTTTTAGAACATTGAATCGTATATGAACAAGTTTCTTGACCGGCGGCTGCTGGTTTAGCAAAAAGGTCAACCAGCGAAGAAGAAAATAAGAAACCTTGTGCTTTGAGTCCCGTTTAAAAATCAAATTAATAAAATAGTGAGAACATCCAAAATGCTTTTTATTGATTCTTTTTTAGGTCATTTACTCTAGTGCCTTTTATACTCCTATCATTTTAATTGCCCACGAGAGCTCGAAACCCAAATTTTTTTAAAAAAAGTGGCTGACAAAAACGATTTATCCAACGGACCAATAAATTTCGGTCTTTCTTATTGATGCTTTTCATCGATTGTTGGATATTAAGACGTTTATAAATGAGATTAAAAAAAAAGAAGTTCTCTCAATAAAGAGTGTGGATAAGTCCAAAATAAGTCTCTATATGTGACAAAAGAATCAACGACGGAAGAAGAAGGTAACATAGATGATATAATTTTGACTAACTTAGTTAGACCCCGTGATTGAAAATGAAAGAGAGGTGTGTCTTCGTTTAGGCCAAGAATATTCGTTTTGCATAAGTTTGATAATTTCACCATGGATTGGGTACTCTTTAATTTGATGTTCACATGTTATATCTCAATTCTAGAAACGAGAATCACCACAAATACGACTAATGGTCGGATCTTGCCTGAAACTTCTACATTCTTAGTTTATATAAAAAAAATATGTGTACGACTGTACAAGGAAACTCAGAAGGGATTGCCTTCAGTTTCAACCATTTACATACGGGATGAATTATAGTCATAACTCTTTTTTATGGTTAACCAGAAAATAATAATCCATACTTTTAACAAGCGATTATTAGTACTAATATATAGTTTATAAGTTTTTATTTTAAAAATCAATCAAAAACTTAGTAGAGAAACTCATAACTTTTACTTGTTAAATAAAAAGAAACTTATATATATACTTGATCATTTAATCAATTCTTATTTCTTCAATCCGGGTCAATTAATATTTGTAGACTTGCATAGTAAAACAAACATGTGACATAATGAGTTTGTTGTTCTAAAGGCATTTCTTGCAGTATTTGATATTTGAAAAGTAAAATTTAAAAAAAAAAAAAAATATATTTTACTATTAATATTTGCAAATCACGTTCCAATATATAATATTTGTTTACAATAAATATATAATAAACTTACACTTTAATCCATTAATTGTAAATTAATTAGTAATAACCGAGAATATATATTATCAGCTCAGCCGTCAATGGCTTATTGATTTTTCAACCAGGTATTACTTATCTAAAATTCTATCACATCTCTCTTTTGTCAATATTCCCATCCCACCTAAGAAAATTGTGGAAGAAGAAATAGAAAGAAAAAAAATATTCTTGATTTTATTTACTTACAACTTTCTCAGTTTTATTAAAAAAGTTTATTTTATAATTTTTCACAAGTACTGAGAAATTTTATGATTTATTAATTCTCTTATTAATATACTAAATCAATTTTGTTTCTAATTAATATAATAAATTGGTGTAAAAAATAATATAATAAATCAATAGAATTAAAACTTGATTTCTGTAAACAACAGTTTTTGTGAAATATAAGAAATATTATATACAAACAATAATAAATTCTTGATTATTTATCATTTTATCTTCTCGCTTCTCTAAATCAATTTCAATGCCATCAAAACATGAAGGAGAGAAAAAAAAAACATATTGGTTGGTTTGACGAAAATATCATTGGTTCCGTACTATGTCTGCCATCTTTACACCGAACTTTACACCAAAAAGAAAAGAGAATTTAAAAAAAAAAAAAAATTCAGAGCAACCAAAGTGCATATTAAGGATTTGGTCTGCCATTTACGCTGTCTCTTGTGACTGCTATTAACGAAAATGGCGAAAGATTCTTGTCTTCATGTTGAAGAATAGAAGAAGTTCTCTTTTTTCTTTGAGAGATATATTTTCACATATTAAAAAGAAAGATTAAAGAACATGGTTGAAGATAGTCGACAAATGTGTGTAGACTTTATTTGTGATTAGGAAAACCTCTCTAAAAAGAAAGTAATACTTACACTTTTTTTCTTTATTCACCAGATTTTTCAAACAACAGAGATTAGTTTTTTTTTTTACTGTGAATATTATAAGACGATTGCTAGTCATAATATTAATATACTTGATTACTCTTCATCAACAAATTTAAAAGAAAATGTTATAATTCATTTATAATATAGTGACCACTTTTTTCTTTCTCACTATACACTTTTAATTGAGGATAAATATAATAACTCACTTTTTGTCTGCTCTTTGTAACTCTTTCTAAATCTCACCAAACATTGCAAGACCAAAATAAACTGGGTAAGTAATTAATTAGTATGTGCTTTTTTGGAGAAACGTTTCTCACAATAGTCCAAGTATGCATGAACCAATACAATTCATCAGAATCTTAATTGAGAACTTTTTGTCTAATGATAAGAGTCAATAAAAGACAATACTTTAAGACACTTTTTTGATTATTGTGATCTTTATTATGCTATTCAAAGGAGGGGCAATGCATTATCACCATATTTACATACTATATATGTATGCATGTTTTATCATTTGTTTATTTTGTCGTATTACTTTAATCATGATAGCTTAGTAGTTCCTGATGTATGATATTTTTTTGTTTAGTATAGAGTAAAAATCTACTAGACACCCTAACTTGAACTTTTAGTTTGATAATTTTTTTTTTATGTTGGACTAAATATATCTACAAACTCTATATAACTTTGATTTTTTTTTTTTTTTACTTTAGAGTAAAAATCTACTAAAATTATAAAAAATTATAACTTATACATAGTATTTTAAAATTAAGATAATGTAACAAAAACTTGAACTTTCACCTTAATTTGTTTCTGCATGTTTTAAAGTAAAAATGTACTAATCGATTAGTTGAACTTTTGGTTTAACTGAGCATAAATTAAATAATCAACCTTAATAGACTACAGAAACACAACACCAACGTCACGTTTAGCTGTCTAAAGCAAAAAGTCGTGGATCCCATATACGAAAATTTAATCAAAAAAATAAGTCATGTTCAGATTTCAAACTTTGCTCCTAGAGAGGTCCACTGGATATATACAGAATCAACCACCACAACACAGCCAATTTTCTAATTTTTCATTATTTGTGGCACCTAAAGCATCAGCTTCATGGGCTTAAACCCATGGCCTAGAGACTCATCACTTTCAAGGGCTTTCCCTAGGGCTTAGGCTCATAATGGAAAACTATATACGTATCCAGAGAAGAACAGAACCATCACACAGTTTCCCCAAAACATTTGTAATTTTGTATTATAATTTCTCTATAGAAGCTCAGAAATTGCCGTTTTATATCAAATAAATAAAAATACAAAAAAGAGAAAAAGAGAAAAAAACCATAGAGGCTGTACTTTGTACTAAGTCGTATGATCATCAATTAATGTACTATCTGTGTATGCTTCACTTGTGTGTATATGCTCTAAGTTAAATCTCTTTCCCTGTGTCAGGTTTTCGGTTTCTTCTTTCTTAGTTTTATAACTTTTAACCTTTCGCTTACCTTCTTTTTGCAATTCAAAAGGTTGTTGTATCAGTATATGTTGATGAATCTACTAATCCTTCACTCAAAAGTCGCATTGCAGCTCCTCTAGTGAACTTCCTCGCAAAGAGAAAGCATGGTACGGGTTTCGAATTCGCCCTGCACCATTCTGTTCGATATTCCGTTTCATAATATACATGGTTGATTTTCTGTAAACCGGAATTACCAAACAAAAGAGATCAGCTCAATCGGAAAAACCAAACAGTTAACCGGATTCCACAAGATCTCATTGTTAAAATCAAGAAAAAAAAGTTGTACCTTTATTCCTTGTATTTCCTCTGGTCCCGAAGTATCCGATGTGAAAGTAAGAGGATGCCAAGATTTGGCTTCAGCTCTTTTCGCTGATAGGTTCCATGTTGTGTATGTCACTGTTCTCCGTTCCATTTCACTCTCCAAGCCGCGCATCTGCAGAGATCAAGATTGCGATACAAATTTATATCTGGAAAATCAGCGAACTATAAAGAGATAAACCGAACGATAGGTTTTGATTACTTACTGTAAGCAGAGTTTGAACGTAGTGTTCATCAGGGATGCAGTTGTGACGTCTGTGTTTCTGTTTCCGCATTCACAGCAATGTAATATGTTAAGAAAAAGCCGCCATTTACTGAGAAAGAACAAGATATCCCTGGGAAATAATACTCACAATCTTACAAATCTAGACACAGTGGACAAGTTAAGACCAAGCAGAATACTACCTACTTGTTTTATTGATTTGTACATCTTGTTTGTGGATTTAAAGTATTTATATCAGCCAATCTATTTTCATGTAATCAAAGTGATCTAGAAGCGGTACAGAATCAAAATATTTCAAGTGGGTAGCATAAATGAAAAAATGGAAAAAAACAGTCAAGTATTACTTACAAGATAAAGCCATTTATTTCTGGGATCCAGAGGTAGAGATCGCTGTATAAGAAAACAAATATAAATAAGTGGATTCATTATTTCTTCAAGAAAATAATAGCACATATGAAAGTAGCTCAGAAGCAACACTACTGCTTATTGAAACCGAAAAGCAACAGAAATGAAGACACCCTAAAGCTTGACCTTTTACCTTGCAAAATTTCTGAAAAACAGGGAACACAGTATCATCGTTAACAATGACCTCTGCATGGCTTCTGATCAATGATATCCACTGCAATTAACCCCCCCAAAAAAAAAAAAACTAAGAATGATTTCATAATATTGCAACAAAAACCCTCTTGTCACAGAAAAACTCAAACTTTCAAAATCTCGCAAAGGAAACAGTTCTGAAAAAAGTTCCATTTCAAAATCTATAACAATGAAGTTTCTTTTTCTCCAGAGATGGAAGATACCTGGGATCCTTTTCGCCACTTCTCTTTAGGAATCACAGGAAACATTTTCATGGTGTAGCGCCTATCTTTAGTATCAAGGAAACTGCAAACAGAGAGTAACACAGTTTATCAACATCTAGTTACCTCCTCTAATACGATAACAGTTAGCTAAGAAACTGATCTACTACTTCTGCTACTTATTTGCATCCAAAAATCGAACTTACCTGTCTACAAAGCTTTTTGGTGAAGACATTAGATATCTGTATATGTAACCAAAGTCGTATAACGGAACACAGCTGCATCACAAAAAAAGTATAAGCAAATGAATGAGTGACTTAATTGCAAAATCAAAAGAAAACATCAATAAGATCTCATACAAGCATTTCCATGTCTAATGCTTTAAAGAAACCGACCTATCAGACAAAAGAACAAATCTTTGATTCGAAGGATCCTCCAAGGCAGATGCTAGCAACAATCTCTCTGCTGCAATCATGCTTGATTCTCCCCAAACTACCTGTAAATGAGTCATTCTTAGTTTTCTACTTCATTCACGAAAAACCCCAGAACAAGCAAAACAGCTAAAATGGTTTCTGAATCAAATCCGGAAAAAATAAGAATCTGTTGTTCATATTACTTGCCTCGATGCTATTCTTCAATTGTCTATTGTGGAAGAACTGTGATCGTGTGGTGCCTTCATCGAATACGAATCCTGGTACTGAATGTACATAAACTGAGAAATTCCTCTGATCTGCTCCCTGTCGAAATTGTAAGAAGAATAAGCAACTTTTTTCTGATTCAAAGGAAGCAGCGAGTAACGGAAAATGAATGATCATAGACCTTGAAGAATCTATCCCAGAGAAAATCGAGTGGAAGATCACGGCGAGCCAGGAAAAGGAACGCGACCTTCGGACGGTCGCCGGAGTATTTTCGGAGCGGGATACGAGATCTCGCGACGGAGAGCGACGGTAGTGTCGCGCTGGAACGAGACTGACGGTGGATACTGAAGAGAGCGATGATACATAGTGCGGCGGAGAGAGCAGTGATTAGCTTCCATCGAAACCACACGCCGCCGCGACGAGACGCCGGAAGCTGCAGTTGCGCTTTCCGCGGCATGGGTAATTCGGAAAGTCACCGAGATTACTCACTCACCTCCGGAGATCTGCATCCGAACACCGAAATGATCGGAAATGGAACTATAAATATCTTTAGGGTTTTTGAAATCGAGATTTCAGGAGAAATCAAAGATCGAAGGATTTGGAATGTTAGTAATGATAATAGATTGTCAGTCCAAGGAGATGAAGGCAAGTTACTAAAGGCAGGCGTTGAATCTTGTGAAAACGACACCGTGTCGCTGTCCACGTGTGAGTTTTTAAAATTGACGTTTTTATTTTAATTAATTACACAAAAACAAAACATTCGAAAAACAATTAAAAAGGTCATTAAATTGTTGTTTCCATAAGGATTAGGGGGTGTGAGAATATTTTTTATACGTTTCTTCTTGCAGCAAATGCGGCAAGCACATTTTTGTTTTCGGTATGTTTGTTTCATCGCAAGTTCGCAACACACTATTTTCATTTTCTTTAGTCTTTTTTTTTTTAAATAAAAACTACATATTACATGAGTTTTTTTCTTCTTTAACAGCAACTAAAACACAGGAATTATTGATGAAACTATGATTACTAAGGGAGTGTATTAAAATTGAAATTCTAGAAGACTTTGTAGTTATTTAATTTTTTTTTGTTATTCAACTAATAATCTCTAAATATCTTAGCAAAATCTATGTTATTGAACATGAAATTTATTACTAATAAATATTGATGTTAATAGGCTTATAAAGGTCTACATAGGATTTAAAAAATTCAACTTTATTGATACACATCATCATCTATATTTGATTATATATATTAAATTTAATTAATTTTGTTTTTATTGTTATTAGTAAAGTTTTTAAATTTTAATTTATTTTGTTTTTGTTGTTATTAGGAAAGTTCCTAAACTTTTAAATAATTATTAGTAAAATTTGTTTTAAAAAGTATGGACATTAGATCTTATTTTCCTATTAACAATAAAAAGAAAATTAACATATCCCCTATATATTAATTGAGGAAATTTTTTAAAGAGCAACCTCATTTTTGTAAGTATTTTACAGTGGTGTCATTATGCTGATGTGTCAACCCCACCTTCATTTTCAGCTAATTCTTTTAAAAAGACTTAGATTACTAGACTAATGACGGGTCCGGCTAATGACATGATATGTCATTATATATTTTAGGTCCATACATATGTTGTTTTATTTTATAAATCAGCATTTAATTTATTAAGATATTATCTTTCTTTTATTTCTTACCAAAAATATATCATATTATTTATTTCCTTAATCACATTTTATACCAAAAATCTATTTTTCTCTTATTTCCATTTAAACTTACTTTTGCAAAGTAAATCAATTATCACATCATCCATATAATAAAAAATATATAGACTTTTTGTACATATATTATAATTTGAATTTTAAAAATTAAATAAAAATTGCTTAAATTATTAATAAATAAACGTAAATCATTATAATTTGATTTCATTATAATCATTATAAAAGTTGATTGTAATTTTAGTTCATCATAATCATTATATATAAAATTAAATAATTATAATTCAATTTTATTGACTCTTTCCAAAAGTAAATTCTCAATTAGCTCATAATTTATAATCTTTTGAAAATTTTGTATACAATAGATAGTATTTAATATTTAATATAATATAATTATGAGCTAATTGAGAATTTATTAATAATTTTAAAGAACATGAAATTTATTTTATTTGATATATGTTAATAATATAAGTAATTTAATTTATTGCATATTCACTAATCTAATTTAGATATATGTAACATATTAATTCAAATTTATTTTGTTAATATATATATATATATATATATATTCAAAGATTTCGAGTAGAAACGATAGTGACACTTTTGTCTAATAAGTCATCAATGTTTAAAATTTATTTGGAGTAAAAATAATATATAAGATGGAAAACATCAATATTTTTTTTATAAAAGCTAATTATAATACATTTTATTTGTCATATTATTTTTTATATAGTCAATTATAGCAAAAACGCATCAAAACTCTAACCATATTACATCTTAAATTTAATATTCCACTTTATTATGTATACATTATACTCTCAGCTTACTATATATCATATAATCAATTATGTTTTATTATTATATTTTGGATAAGATATCTTTATTAAAGGTTTTTGGAGTCAATAATTATTCTTTTCTTTTACAAACAGATAGCTTATAGATATAATTATTGTTTTCAAATTAAAAATATAAAAATTATGTCTTTTTTAATTCATTCGATATATTAGATAAGTAACAAACTATTTAAATAATAATAATTATTTACCATTTAAGAGTCAAAAGTAATTAAATGTATACACAAATATTATATATCCAAATCTTAAATATTGGTAAAAATGCTGAACCGTACCATCCCTCACGGAATATAGAAAATCTATATGGAGATTTCGTATTTCTATCCAGCTATATCATGTGCTATGTATGATTTTTAATTTTAAATTAATTTATATGATAATTAAATTACTCTATATTCATAAAAATATATATTGTCAATGTTATAATGTATTATATTAATAAAATTCATATAAATTTAAGTATATTTTATTATATTATATGATTTTAAAATTATACTAAATTTAAATAAATAATAATTATTTTATCTCACATAGGGTGCGGATTATTACCTAGTTATTAGATCATAAAAAATCATATGAATTATAAAACAAATCATTTCATTGGTTCACATCATTTTCTGTAATTAATTATATTTTTAAGCTAATTATTTTCTTTTTATACTTATCAAGAAAATTTCCAAATTATAATTATACTAACTAATAAAATATATAAAAATAAACAAATGATATAGAATATAAAAAATAAAAAATCAACTTAACAAAAAATTAGAAAAATTTATTAATTAAAAGTAACACTTTCGATTATATAAAAACCATCTAAGACTAATAATAAAATGTTGTTTTACATATAATATAAATAAACTCATGTTTAAAAAATAATTTATTTTAATATAATATAATAAGATTATCACCATTAGTTATTACAAAGATTAATTGTTTAAAAAATATATTATACCTATTACTTATAAAAGTTAAAATAGACTTATGTATAAAAAATAATTTATTTTAATATAATATAATAAGATTATCACCATTAGTTATTACAAAGATTAATTGTTTAAAAAATATATTATACCTATTACTTATAAAACTATTTGAAGGCAACAATCAGAGCCGTGCCTACCTTTATACGGAAGAGGCTTTCGCCTACGGTCCCGTTTTTAAAAAAAAAATTAACAGAGAAACATTAAAGTTTGTATGTATAGTTTGTATGTATGAGTTTGTTCGTTATGGTTGACTAATAAATATGATTAAGCCCATTTACTTCTTTAAGACAAAATAACATTAGAAAAATATTATGGTTTGTACGTATTTTTTTGTTTTTCTATTGCCTACTCCATCATCTCTATATTTCATTCAAATTACTCTATCAAACATCATCAGTTCATCGTTAGGGTAAGTTTGTTATTTTTAATTTATATTACTTCTTTGTTCTTATATATTTTTATATAGTTCTTAATCATCGTTACCAATTTTAACTTAATTAACAAACTAAAACATTATATTTTAAATTTATAAAACCATCAATCAACAGAATAAACCAATAAATAAAGCAAAAACAAAACAAAAAAAAAGTTGTCAAAAAGAAAAGAATAGATTTTTTAAGCAAATATTAAAAAACAAAATTGTCAAAATCTCGAACTAATGAAATACTCCCTCCGTTTAATAAAGAATGTCATTTTAGAGTTTTATTTTTGTTTCATAAATAGTGTTGTTTTAGATTTCCAATACAAATTTATAACAAAATATCTAGTTTTAACCTCATTATATTAGTGTATTAATTAGAAAGAGAAAGTTGTTTAGTGTATTTATAAAAAAATATAAAAGAATTTTTATTAACCTTCTTAATTTGTGTGAAAAGTCTCAAAGTGACATTTATTTGAAACAGAGAGAATATATAAGTATTTTATGAATTTTTTTATATAATTTAAAAATTGTTATCACCTACGGCATCAAATTATGTTGGCATGGCTCTGGCAACAATATTCAGATATGATTTAAAACAACTTATACATAACAAGAATGGCGCTAAAGATGTTGACAAAAGTTATTTTCTTTGGTTAGAATAATTAAAGTATTATTGTATATTTTCATGTTAATATTATTTTTATTAAATAGAATTTGATTATTTATTACACTTTTAGGTGACTTTTTGGTATATTAAATTACAAGTGTTTGATCAGACAAACCATTTTTGAAATTAGACATATACAGATTCTTATAAAAAAAAAACTATAAAGACAAATAGATAATTATGATTTGAACAACTTTATGTCATTTTTGTAGCATTTACAAAGACGAATGTACTTTTGCTACAAAAATTTGATCTAAACTATATCTTGACATGATAAAATGTAATCTCAATTAGATTTTGGTATATTCAAAACTCGTGTATTTCAAGATATTTATTATTGAAAGATTGATCGACTTTTATTTGTTGATTTTATTTCAAAACAGAAGTATAAATACTTGAACTTATTTTAATTGATGTTCTAGCTAACAATACACGGGTTAACAAAATTAATTCACATTTAAAAAATATATTTAATAAATAAATAAAAATAGCAAATAGAATAAAAATGGATGAAAAATAGTTAAAAAGTGAATGTATTTTTGGTGAACTCAAATATTAAATTATAAGTAATGAAAAGAATTAATATTTTGACATAAAAATTGTTAGCCATTGGTAAAAGATTTTTAAACTTCTTTGACTAAAGTGCTTTTTTAATTTTTTATAGATTAAAATAAATTAAAGATTTCTATGAATATAAAAAAAATCAAATAAATTTGGATAACAAACCTTTGATCATTAATTTAAATAAAACATAGTGAGTATATAGTACATTAGTAAGACATTTTACAAAGTTAAATAAAATATTTCTATATAAGAGGTTATTTTTGTTGAGAACCTTTTATATAAATTCTAAATTTTTGTTTTATTTGAGAACTTATATATTATTACAATCTAAAAACAAATCATCAAAAGCATTTTAAAATTAAATATGTTTGTCTGATTTATCTATTAGTAATCAAAGTTGTTACCATTAAAAAAATTAATTTTTTTTTTAAAATACTTGAAAGAATTGGATACAGTTTCCTATTTAAATAAGTTATTTTTTAATTTTTTTTAAATAGATAAAATAAAATAGACAATACATATCATAAATAGTTATTTTATAATGAATTCATAATATAAAACACATATTAGTCAAAAATTAAAAAATAATCTTAATTATTAAAAAATTAACTATAGAAAAAACACAATTTTTTTTTTAACCAAACATTATATAAATTTTTTTACTATTGTATTTTAAGTAGTGTAAAAATTATTTAATCAAAATTTATATAAAACTGTTTATAATATATACTCGCGCGTAGCGCGAATGAAAAACCTAGTGTGAAAAAAATTCTTTCAATCTATTCTATTATTGTAGTCAAAAGATCTCTTTTTTTTATGGAAGGTTCAATATTATTCTTTCGGAGGTGAAAAGTAATATTGTTACGATTTTTTAAAGGTTATTTCTTTAACTTTTAGATCATGTTGATGATGATTCAAGTTTATCTCTATTAGATACATAAGGAACTTATGTGTATAAATCTTGACTAACTGATATTACTGTTTTCATTTTTCTACTATAACAGCACACTTCTCTCATCTATAAAAACATTATAGTACATTGTTCGGATTAATATACATCTTTTTCATCTAATTCTATAAGGTTATAAATTTTTTTAAAAACTTTTTATACATTAATGGAGAATATTTCATTGAGATTTGTTTTTATCGTTTTTTAACTTTTACTGGTAATTTTAATACATACAACATTTATTTAAATATATGTATCTAGTTTAAAATATATTTTTAATCTACTAAACAATTAGATTATGTTACTTATATTTACTATATTTTTTTTTTAGTGATGATATCGGTAAAAATTCAGATTGTCGAGGCAAAACATATGTTACCTTAAAAAACTTCTTATTTTTATTTTCAAACTACATTGGTGCCGGTTATTAAATTAGGGGGTTTTTGGTGTCAAAAATCTTGTCATGAATTATGTTTTGCAAAAAATTGTTATTGCATGTGTCCTCCAAAATAAAATAAAATTACAATCACTAATGAATAAAAATATTAAGTTCGCTAATGAATTTCTTTTGTGTGAATCAAACTAATAAAACATACTTTCTTGAAATTTAATCATGCAAAATTAAAGTAACCCTGATAGTTTATTTAGGAATCTCCCTACTCCTATTTTTAGGCCATCTCCAACCCAACAAGAAAAGAATCATAAGCACTCTATAGTTACATCTTGTGGATCTGTCTGATTCAATGATTGTACAATGGGATTTCTGGAATAAGTTTGAATTTTTTCCTAGGCCAATTTGAGTCAGCAGAACAAAAATTAGGCTCTCGATATTTTGATGGTTATCCCTTTATTTTTTAGATTATGTTCCTGATGATTCAAGGTTATCCAATATTTTAGGAAATGATGAGTATAAATTTTGACTAATTGATAGTCTACAATTTTTGGGAGATTTGTTTTTTTTATAAATAAGATTACTTTTACCATATATAGAATTTTGATATTACTATTTTTTATTATTTACTAAAATAACACATTTCTCTAATCTATAAAAACGTTATTGTACATTATCTGAATTGATCAAATTGAGGTAATTCTAGAAAGTTATAGAAAAGAAAAAAACATAAATTTCTACAGTGATGGAGAAAATTTCATTGAAATCCGCTTTCATGGTGCTTTTAGTCTTTACTGGTAAGTTCAATGTTTTATATTTATTTATATATTATGTAAAATTCAATTTTTTTAGCTCTAAACATACAACATGTATGTAAATATGTATCCAATTAAAATTATAATTATGATATATTAAACAATTAGATTAGGTTACATACTTATATTATTATATTTTGTATTGTAGTGATGATATCAATAACAATTCAGATTGTTGAGGCGAAACGTATGTTACATGAAGAAACTTCTCCCTTCCATCATAAAGCTTCACTGGCACCGGTTAAAAAATTAGCACTTGGCTTTTGTAAGCCACCATGCAAAGAATTATGTTTTGGAACAAGTTGTCAGTGTGTATGTTCTCCTGTTCCAAAATTATAAATTACGATCTAAAAAAATTATTTTCCCTGATAAGAGAGATTAGATATATATTGTTTGACAAGTGAGTTACTTAATTTTATGTAATAATTATGTAAATCAAATAAAAAATATTCATTCTTAAAATTTTGCTCTAGAAAATCAAAATAACTTCCGACAGCCATCGTTTTTATAAATTTATATTCTTATTTTTAGCTTGTAAATCTTATTTCTGAAAGACTAACCCAACAATTTATATTTGATTTTAATGGCATATAAAATTTTTACATTTTTATTTAAATTAGTAAAAAAGGTTAAAATTACGATTTGGTGATCGACATTGTTAAACCGATGGTCCAAAAATATTCTGGTTCACTATGCCATTGTGAATATCGAATTTTGGTTAATGTGGAAAAAATAGTTTCGGCCAAATAACCTGGCAAATATTTATTATTTTGAAAAAATTATATACCCAAAATTTATTTGAATATCCATTTCCAAAACAACTATATACCCAAATTTTCTTTACTAGAACCATCTTTAACCGTATGAGCCTACTCCTAACTACTATTGCTTTCTAACTTTTTGAACATCTTTTGTCAAACAAACAAAAAACCTTTTGATTACTTCAACGATTTTGCCATTGTTGAAGTGTGAAGAGCCAATATACCCTTATTTGTTTGAAAATAATCTCACTACCCCTTTATGATCTCACTACCCTACCCCTCTCTTATTCTACTCTCTATTTTACCCTTCCCTCCTTCTCATTTAATTAAATCAAAAACAAAAATAAATTAAATAAATTTATTAAAAACAATAATAAATAAACTTAGCTACCTACAACTAAAAAATGGACCCCACTTTACTACTCATCTTCTTCTCCAAAAATTGACCCATTGTTGCTTCTCCATCCTCATTAAAGCTCTTGAAGCTTTAGAAGATGAGTTTTTGCAGCCCCCTATGCAGCTCTTATGCATATATTAATTTCGCTTTGAATCATACTAAATCATGTAGGAATATAGTTGATAGACATTGAATCAATGAATGGAAAAATAGGATAAATATGTATTATTTAATGCTTTTTAAAATTATTGGGTTATTAAAAATTGTTTGCTAAGTTGATTTAATAGGGTCTTACATTGGTAAGTAAAAGCAATTAGAAAGGTTAAACGTGCGTCGAATCATTCTGAATAGCAGTAAATCATAGTAGATTTGTATGTAAATACATATTTTCTGGGTAGTAATGACACAAAACTTGAGTATTATTGGGCCAATTAGTATTACTAAGACAATAGATATCACTACTAGATTATGTCGTAAAGGAAGGAAGAACTCAAGAAAACCGGTTTCCTTTAGTTAGAGAACAACGAGAGAGAGGAAGAGGAAGGAGAAGAGGAAGAGGAGGGATTTTGTGAGGACCCGACCGTCTATCACTAGACCGGCCCGAACCTCACCGAGTCTTCTCTCGACCAGAATATAAAAACATGAATATTTTAAAAACTTTTCCTTAATTTTAAAACAAGTTCGATTCATCAAAAGACATTCATTCTCATTGCATAATTATTCCAGAAACACTTAACAGAATTCAGATTCAATAATAAACTAACTTATCAGATTCGGTTCAACTCATAAAGCACTAATACAAGTACTTAAATACTAACACAAGCACTAACACAAGTACTCAAACTCAGAACATAAATCCCAAAACCCAGTCCTAATCTACCCTTTCCTTCACTGCCTTCCAGTCCGCCTTCAGAGCTACTCGCCTTAAACTCTATCTTTACCTGCACACTCAAAAAGAGAGGCATAAGTATTTGATAAATATTTAGTGAATACGGTCATCCCGTAACACTTTAGCCAGTATCAGAAAATGCATCATACTATCAGTTATACAATTCACATTATCACTTAGCAAGCAAGCACAGAAAAACAGTACGGTCCTATGATCATCTCAACTACTTGTGAAGCCTCACAAGGCATCGGTACTGCTCCAAGTGAGAATTACACATCCCCTTGAGCTAGTACTTCGATCCGGACATTCACACAGCTAGTTAGACACCATGTATTGACCATGGTTCACACTTAACCATTCACAATATTGACCTTGCTAAGCAGAAACCATTAACTTACACAAGTAATCAATGAAAATCAGATAACCTAGCAATCAAACGATTCTAGGTACAGACCACAGTCACGCACTCACCTTAGACACATAAACAAACGTTTCAGTGGAATAAATCTCGGTGATTTCTCGATCAGAAACTGTGATAGCCGGACACACTTACGATTTCTCGGCTATCGCTCAGACTGGTCTGGCAAAATCTCAACACCTCTCGGCTATCTCTCAACCCGGTCACTTTTCCTAGGGCAAGAACCTGTATTCCCTTAGAAACAGTGTAAAATAGAACTATTAGTCTGACGTTACCCGACAGTAACTCGACACTAATCAGAATATCCGAACACTTACCAGATTCTCTTAGACGAATCGAAGTGCTCTCGGACAAATCAAAGTGCTCTTGGATATCGCCGGCGAAACTTCGATCTCTCTAGGGTAACTCTCGGGATAATCAGAAACTACGGGATTTCCCTCGATAATCTCTCTCTCACGCGTTATATCTCTCAACTAATGCAGCTCTCTCGAGAAAAAGTCTCAAAATCCTTTTTATATGCTCGCAAAACCTAGTTAATCCGGCTATAGCCGGCGTCTCCCGGTTCCAGTCAGGTTTATCCCAGCCAGCTTTGATTTCTCTCGGATATCGCCTAAACCGCTCGACCATCCACACAAGAAATTAATTTTTATCCGACCAAACTCTCTGCCCATGGGCCCAGCCTACTTTTACTCGACTAAAATCCTTTCTCTCGGACATAGTCCAATTTATCTTGGATATAGTCCACTTTCTCTCCGACATAGTCCATCCTGCTCGGCCAGCTCGGCCATCCGTCGACTATTTCTCAGTCATCCCTCGATTATATTCTGAACCTCCCATCCATACGGATTTTTCCCTTGACTGAACTCACATTCCTTCGGACAACCTCCTGTCCGGCTCGATCATTCCAGATTTTCTCGGATACGGATGCTATAACTCTCCCCCACTTGGTTTGGATTCGTCCTCGAATCTGGTTCTTCTTCCTGAAGTTTATCAAACCATTTCAGGAACCTTGTACTCATCTTAGACTCTACTTTCCAAGTAGTTTACTCATCCCCATTACAGTCTCAGAAAACTTGGATCATCTTGACCCTCTTACCACACCTAAGCTATTCTTTCCAGTCAACCACTCGAATCGGTCTACCTACCACGGTCTGATCCTCTTGCAATTCCGAAGGTGGTTCAGATATCACAGTCTCACATTCGGTTATGTGCTTTCTCAGCTGCGACACGTGAAACACATTGTGGTAAGCACTCATTTACGGCGGTAAGTCCAACTTATACACCACTGGTCCAATCCTTTCCAGAATCCGGTACGGTCCCATCGGACTCAACTTAGCATCAAACGTTGCTCGGCTTTTCCTCTTGTAAGTCATAGCCTTCAGATAAACAAGATGACTCACATTGAACTCTAAGTCCTTACGGCGATTATCAGCATAACTTTTTGTCTGTTTTGAGCCTCTTTCAGCTTAACCTTCAGAAACCTGATCTTTTCAGTAGTCTCTTCGACTATAGCAGGTCGTAACTCACTCCGCTCCCCCACTTGGGTCCAACATAGCTGTGTTCTATATGGCCTTCCGTACAACTCTTCATACGGAGACATCTCAATGCTCCTATGGTAACTGTTGTTATATGCAAACTCAGCCAACGGTAGATAACTTTCCCTGTTACCACCCTAGTCCAGTACACACGCTCTCAGCATGTCCTCTAACGTCCTGATGGTCCTCTCAGACTGACCATCTGTTTGCGGATGATATGCAGTACTCATATGCACCTTTGTCCCAAACTATTTCTGAATCTCTTTCCAGAATCGTGAAGTAAACTTCGGGTCACGATCAGACACAATGCTCGCAGGCACTTCATGAAGCTTGACGATTTCATCGACATACAACTCCACCAGCCTAGCCACTCCATCCATTTTCCTCATAGGCAAGAAGTGAGCAGACTTGGTCAGCCTATCAACAATGACCCAAATCGCATCATGCTTCTTCAGAGACCTCGGTAATCCCAACACAAAATCCATTATGATCATATGCCATTTCCATTCCGGTATTGGTAATGTTTGCAACAAACCACTCGGAACCTGATTCTCAGCCTTAACCAACTGACATGTTGGACAGCTAGCCACCCACTTGGCTACGACCTGCTTCATCCCGACCCAATGATAGTACCTTCCCTCAGAATTTCCTCTCTTAACTCTTTCACGTCAGGAACACACACACTGCCATTCACAACAATCGTCCATTGTTGGAAGTTTGATACTCAGTCTTGTCGCTCTGTGATACTTTATTCAGATTCTCATCCTCCTCAGCCAAACAAATCTTTGTTAATAAGTCAGCTTGATCCGTAGCTCCCAAACCCAACGGTTCTAGTTCCTCAGACAAAATGTTTAACGTTAACGTCCTTAGGAGATTCACAACTCCTTCCACATCCTTGGCAGAAGATACAATAGCCCTCCTCCGGCTTAATGCATCAGCAACGTGATTAGCCTTTCCCGGATGATACACTATCTTTAAGTCGTAGTCAGATGACTAACTCCATCCATCTCCGTTGCCTCAAATTCAACACAGGTGGAGTGAAAATGTACTTCAAACTATTATGGTCGGTAAACACCTGAGCTTTCCCACTATACAAGTAATATCGCCATATCTTTAACGTAAAGACTACAGCTGCCATCTCCAAGTCATGCGTAGGGTAGTTCGCCTCATGCTTCCTTAGCTGCCTTGACGCATATGCAATCACATTCCCATGCTGCATTAGGACACAACCTAGTCCTTTTCTAGAAGCGTCTGTGTACACCACATACAGTTCATCCAGCTCAGGTAAAGCCAATACTGGTGCACTTGTAAGCATTCCTTTCAGCTTCAAGAAACACTCCTCACACTCAGCCGTCCAAAAAAACTCAACATCCTTACCAGTCAGACGTGTCATGGACTGAGCCATACTTGCAAAGCCTTTTACAAACGCCTGTAGTAGCCAACCAATCCCAGAAAACTTCTTATCTCA